GCACAGGAGCGGGCAGTGGTGTTCTCTCAACCTGCTGCTCCACCACAAGTCAGTTATGGCAGTTGCTCCTCAGAGCCAAGCAACTGCCCTTTAGGCAGCAGAGTCCCTTTTATGCCACCCTGCCTTCCTGGGTCGCGGAATGGACCAATCAGGCGTGAGCTATGAGCTGATTGGTGCTAAATGGTGCCTCCCCACAGGATCCCAAAGAAGGGGGTTGAAGACAGAGCTAGCAAACTGTACAGCAGGGGCGGGGGAGGGAAGAGCACAAGAGGTTACAGTGACTCTTCAAGAGTGACATGGTGTGGTAATTTTATGAGGATTACACCTGAGGGGAGAAATCAAATATTGCACACTGCCTCGTAGCCTGGCCCTAGAGCCGGGGTGACCAGGGCCCCAGGGTGAGGGGCCTCAGAGAAATGTGCTTCCCAGGAGTGCTAAGGTCTGTGCTGCTCAGACACACCCAGCCCAGGGGGAGCCCTGAAGACAGGGCTGTGTCAGTGGTGAGGAAGGAAGAAACACACAATTATAGAATATGTGTTTTTATTTTATCAAAATTCTCTTTCCTTTTTTTTTTCTTTATTGCATGACATTGGTTTACCACACTGTATAGGATGGAGAATAGGTTCAGCCTCTTCAGGCGTGTGTGATCACACCACAGCCACCACCAAAGCACCCACGACCCCACCCCGGTTCTTTCTGTCTCCCTCCTCCTTTGCTCCCCAATTCTCACCATCCCCTTCGGTAGCCTTGTTATAGGGCAGCCCGATATTGAACGCTTACAAGGGACTTATTAATACTCCACTACAGGCACACACAAAAGGTTAATAAAAGGTTTATTTACAAGGGAAAAGGCAATAAGGAAAATGTACAACCCAGGGAGAAAATAGGGAAATAAAGTCTTTAATGCGTCCTACCCGATCCGCCGACCTGGAAACCCAAAAACCACTCTCCGAGCTGGCCGGACGTTGCGAGCTGGTGGAGAGTCAAAATGGGGGACCCCTCCAAATCCCACGTGTCTGGCTTTATACCAACCTGGCTGCTTAACCCACCCTCAGGTCCCAGCCACCTTCCCTTTGGTGGTGATGGGATTTCGAGTTCCCAGTGTCTTTGGCTTTGGCCTGGGGTGGGGGTGGAGTCCACAAAGCCTGTATGGAATTAGCTATAGGACATCTTTTTCCCCCTAACAGCCTCAATTCTACAGTCTGGATTCTTGTGTTTATTTTGCTTTACTTTTGTCGTTGTTTAGTTTCTTAATATTCCGCCTATACGAACAATCATCCAGTATTTGTTACTTTCCTTCTGACTCACTGTGTTTAGCATAACCCTCGCTAGTTCCGTTCATGGAACCACAAATGGAAAGACTTCATTTTTTTCTTGAAGCAAAGGATTACCCAGTGTGTGTGTGTATGTGTGTGTGTATGCATCACATCTTTCTAATCCACTCGTCTGCACACAGGCACTTGGGTTGCTTACCTGACTGGGGTTGTGCTGCAGTGAATACAAGACAGCAGGTGTCTCAGTTAGAGATTTTGCATTCTTCATATGGATACCCAGGAGTAAAAATTTGCTGCAGCATGTGGTAGAGTATTTTTTAAATTTTGAGAAACCCCAATGTTGTTGTCCACAAGACTCGTCCCAGTTCCGTTCCCACCAATGGTGCTGAGGGTTTCTTTTGCTCCTGGCCAACACTTGTGTCTGCACTTTTTAACATGCACCATTCTCACAGGGGTGAGGCCAGGCGATAACTCCCTGTGGCTTTGACTTGCGTTTCCCTGATGATACGTGATGTTGAGCTTTTCTTCATGTGCCTTTGGTCATCGCATATCTCCTTCGGAGAGGTGTCTATTTAATCCTTCTACCCAATTTTGGGGGGAGGGGTTGTTTTTTTCTCATCAATGTACATGAATTCTTTGTAGATATTGGACATAGTCTCTTGTTGGATGAATGATTAATATTTATGATCTCCTTTCAGTACAGTCTTCTTCATATGAATAATAGTTTTGTTCAATGGGAAAAAAACTCATATAATGGAGTATAATATAAATACACAAATATAATGCAGTATGATATAAATGGAGTATAATGGAGTATAATGGAGTCCATTTGTTTAGTTTTGTGTTCTATGCCCTTATTGTGTATTTGAGTACAGAAGCTGAGCAAACTACAAGGTCACGTATTGACAAAACAAATTATTGGAAAAAATGAATGATCACCAAAGAATGAAATCTTCTGATAACAATTAAATAATCAGAAAAAAATTGGTTCTGAATGAAACAATTTATAGAGTAAAAGAATACAAGTAATAAGATGAGATGATATTTGCATAGGTAAAGCAAAAATATAAATATCAAATAAAACTTCATAACAATATTGATGAACAAATGTCCAAATTCCTGTCTAAAATGATTTATAAAAGAAACAGAAGCACTAAACAGTCATGTGTGTTCATCTACTTGGGTTCCAGTAATACAGAACCACGGGCTGGGTGGTTGAAACAACATGCATTTATTTTCTCACAGAGTTGGAGGCTGGAAGTCCAAGGTCAAAGAGCCAGCTGGTTGGTCTCTGAGGTGGCTCCTGGTCCTGGAAGACGCCTTCCCATTTGTCCTCACGGGGCTTCCCTCTGGGCCTGGATTTCTTGTCCTCCCTTTATGGGGCCCCCAGGTCTATAGGATTAGGGCCCCACCCTAATGATCTCATTTAACCTGACTGTCAGCCTCTTAAAGGCCCCATCTCCAAATACAGGCACATTAGGGATTAGGCCTTCAGAATATGAATGTGGATGGAGGTACAACTCAGTCCATGATTCAGTGAATATTTAAAGATTTATCACCAAGAAAACTCCAGTCACAATGAATGGGTTCTCCTCTCAGGTGTAGTCCCCATAAAATTCCCACAACCAGGGCCTCCCTGGGGGCGCAAGGGGTTAAGCACCGCACTATGAAGCAATCCACAGGCTCTGCAGCACAAGTCTGATCCCAGGCCAGCCAGGGAGCAACCCACATGGTGCAGCAGACCTCTCCTGTCTCGCCGCTGCTCCCCTCAGCAGTGTATTTCAGTCAGTGTGACTGTTCTCTTCCCCTCTCTGTCTCTGGTGAATCATCTCACCCCCCATGTCTCTGGCCTGTACCTCAGCTCTTGTATGCATAAATGAATAAATCTTTAAAAAAAATGGGAAACTGCTGGCAGCCTCCCCCCAAGCACCCCCATAGTGTGTCTCTGGTTTATAGTTGCTTGTTGATTTTGATTTTTTCTTTATTATAATTAGTCTTTTTCCTGGACCCTTATTTAGATTTTCTAAATTCCTGCTGTGAGTGAGACCATCCAGTATTTTTCTTTTTCTCTCTGGCTTATTTCACTGAGCATGAACCCTTCTAGCTCCATCCATGTTGCCGCAAATTGCATGTGTTTATCTTTTTTGATTGCCGAGTAATATTTCATTGTGTATATGTACCACATCTTCTTGATCCATTTATTTTTGGGCATTTGGGTTGTTTCCATAGCTTCGCTATTGTAAATAGTGCTGCTATGAACATAGGGGTGCAGGTGCCCTTTGGAATTAATTTTTCTGTGTCCTTTGGGTAAATTTTTACCTAGGAGTAAAATTGCTGGATCATATGGAAGCTCTGTCTTTAGTAGGTTGAAGAATCTCCACACAGCTTTCCAAGTGGTTGAACAATTTTGCACTCCCACCAGCAGTGCAGGAGAGTTCCTTTTTCTCCACAATCTTGCCAACATTTGTTGTTAGCTTTTTTAATATGTGCCATTCTCACTGGTATCAGATGGTATCTCATGGTAGTTTTGATTTGCATTTCCCTGATTCCAAGTGATATTGAACACTTTTTCATATGCCTGGTGACCATTTGCATTTCCTCTTTGGAGAGATTTCTTTTTAGTTCTGCCCATTTTTTGACTGGATTATATATTTTGTTTTTGTTGAGTCTCATCAGCTCTTTGTAGATTTTTGTGATCAGTCCTTTATCATTAGTGTTGTGTGCAAAAATGTTCTCCCAGTTGGTGGGGTTTCTCTTTGTTTTGGTTGCTGTCTCTTTTGCTGTGCAGAAGCTCTTTAATTTGATGTAGTCCCAGCTGTTTACCTTTGCTTTCACTATCACCGCTTTGGGTAATGTGTCTGTAAAGATGCTCTTGATGTGCATGTCATGTAGTGTTTCACCTAGATTTCCTTCTGTATATTTTATGGTTTCAGGTCTTATGTCTCGTTCTTTAATCCATTTTGAGTAGGTTAAAAACTGTATTTTTTATACATCATTAGCAATGGCAGCAAAATGATAAGGCATTCAGAGAAGGCCCTTGACAAAAGAGGTCAAGATCTCTTAGGGAAATTTCATGAACACCTAATTGGTCATTTATAGGGGGAGTCTGGATTGTGTTCCCATTCCCTCAATGGGAACACATATCCATATGATTGTAATCAAATGTTACGAAGATTTGGGGATAATGGAGAAGGGGTGCTGATTATAAAATTGAAAGTTCAGGGGGTTCCAATGATTTCCATGGAGCAACCGAGGCAGTAGAGTTCTCTCTCAATTTCTGGTCCATGCAAACTATGAGCATGATAAAGTGATTCTTACTTGACTTAGTAAGTTTGGGGTGGTTGATTCAAATCAGTAGATAAGTGGAATCCCTTCTAAACAAACAAAATTGCATCACTCTCTTCAATTTTAGATCCTCCAACTCCCTAGAAGACATCAGTTTTCACTCAAATGACGATTAACAACACTCTGGTCTCCTAGCTATGACCCCCTCAACCACAATAATGTCCTTGTCTGAGCCAACCCAAATGCTCTGGCAGTTTGCAAAGACTCGGCTTCCTGGAGAACTTAAATGGCCATCAGTGAGGGCTCAGGATAAGGGACAAATGGAGGTTCCTCTCACAGCCCTTTCAGAGATGCCCTGACTCCTCCCTGGGAATGTCAATAGGCAAGACAGTGAGCAGAGCTGCATGAGCCACCACAGGGTCACCATGCCAACCTCCCTGTCCATCACAACACAGGGCATTATGTCTCTATGGGTCAGGGAGACACCCTGGCAGGCAGTGGGGTCTCCACCCAGTATAGTCCTACTCTGCCCTTAGTGCAGGTCTACTAGTAGAGGCTATTGTTACTTGATTAAAGGAAAGACTTGATTAAAGGGGTATAGGCCCCTGTACATTGCTTGAAAGAGTATAGGTCCCAGCTTGCCTGACTTAAAGAGGTTAGCGTCCCTTGCAGCCTCCAGGGCTGCCAAGGAAATGGGAAGAAGCTGCCTCAGGGTGCCTGAACTTGCATTCCTCCTCTTGCTGGTTTTGCCCCCTCTGCTGCCAAGCAGTGGGGCATACCAGCACAGAGCCCCGACCTGGCTAGATTTCCACCACCTCACTCGGGCCAGGAGAAGCCCCCCCAGCAACACCAACCAGGATGGGGAGAGCACCCGCCAGGGCCTCAGCCAGGACACCGGGTCCAGGGAGAGGCTGGCAGATGACAAGAAATCCTGCCAGAGCAATCTTGACCTCTATTTAATCTTGGACAAGTGAGTGGACTTCCTACTGGGCCAGAGACTTGGGGGGCATTACTGGGAGCTCCATTCTCAGCACTTGTTAATAATGTCCTGAGTTTATGGTTATCATTTTATGCTTTGTTTTGTTTCTAACCCAAATCACTCCATTTTTACTAGACTCCAGAAAGACTGCTGAGTTGTCTCTGGGTCTTCTATAGCCTTCGTGCAGAGAAAGATCTTTGCTTTGCTATCTATGTGTTTTGGCTAATTTTTTTTTTTTTTTAGAAAATCCCAGCTTTTTTTTTTTTAAGTTTATTTATTTATTTTTAAAGATTTATTTTTATTTATTTATTTATACAAACACTGGGTACAGGCAGAAGCACGGGAGGGTGAGAGAATTCACCAGAGCCAGAGCGGGGAGCAGAGCAGGCAGAAGGACCAAAGTGCACTGCTGAGGGGAGCAGCGGGCAGCAGGAGAGGTCTTCTCCGGTGGCCGGGGAGCAGCCGCGGATCGAACCTGCCCTGCAGAAGCTGCGGGCAGCTTCACAACCCAGCGCTCAACCGCTGCGCTACCGGGGAGGCCCCTGTTTTTGCTACTTTCTTCTACGATCTATGTGTTTTCTGAACACTTTGCTCTCTGGGTGTGGTCCCGAGAAAGCTGGGCTCTATATAAGCCTTTATGACCTTGAACAAGGAAAGGGGTCCGGGGCACTGTCTTGGAGACACGGCCTTGGTCGTTTCCAGCTCCTCTGCTGGGCTGAGAATTAACTTCCCCTCTTCAGTAGTAGCCGTGGTATGACGTCGGTGACCTCATGGAAGCACGTGGCTGTTTCCAAAGCCCTTTCCCTGCTGTGCCATCCTCAGACAGGCCTGGGGGAGAGCAGGGAAGGTATATGCCATTTCCCAGGAAGGAAGAGTGTCACAGAATTGAAGGCAACATCCTAGAGTCTCTCAGGATGACTTATCCTTGCTGAAAAGTCAGGTATTGAAGTTGTCTACAAATATGTTATTTTTTTCCCCTTCAGACCTGTTATACTTATGTGCACAGGTGTTGGGGGCACTTTAGTATCTTTGGGATGTGATGACCTCATTATCACTATGACTTTCACTCATGTGAACATTGTGGCTTGACATATATATTGTCTATTATGACTCTCCAATATTGTTTTATTTCCCCTATATGAAATATCTTCTTTCATCCCTTCACTTTCCATCTCTGTTTGTCGTTAAAGTGAAATACATATCTATAGGCAATCCATCCATAACTGGCCTTACCTGTCCACCTAACCACACTGCTATCTTTGCTTGATGAATTCAATATATTTAAAATATGATTAAAATAAATATATTTATAAGTGATTGCTGATACGGAAGAACTTGCTACTGACAACTTATTATTTCCTAAATGTAACAAATTGACATTACAGCCTTTGTTTTCCTTCTGTTTCTGCCTACCTTTGCAGACTGGGCTTTCCTCATGTACATTCTGCTTCCCTTTCTAGCTGCTGCTTGTTTGTTGAATGTTTCTCTGGGGAAAGTTTCTCTGTTTTGAGAAACTAGGACTTGGAGTTTGAAATCTGCCTTTTTGTTCACATCCCACCACAAAACTAGTATTTGTTTGTAATTTTATTTTAACAATTATCAAGTAAATACATGAACACAAATTTCAAATCAAACACTGTTATAAAGTTACTACAAAAATCTCCAGGCTTCTTCCCACCCTCTCCACTTCTGATCCCACATCTCAGAGAGAGCTCTTGCATGTCTTGGAGATCTCTCAGGTTATGACTTTGTGACTCATAACAAGCTTATACCGACACTTTTCTTGCTGCTTGGTAACAAAGAGGCAGAGAGTTGGCCATGGTGATTCTCCAAGGACACGAAGGACCAGGAGAGTCAGAGATACAGAATGCAGGAGGTTTTTTCAGAAATGCATCCTCCTTCATGTCTTATCTAGAACTCGTGTGGCACAACCAACCATCCTTGTTTGCTTCCACAGGGTCTTATTCTTGAATCCCCCAGTTGCAAGCACACAAATTCCATTGGTGCCGTCCATCCTGACAGTGTGCTGGCGTTGTGGGGTGGGAGTAGCTTTTTGGATGGTTTCAGCTAAATCTGCTAACACAAAGAATTCACCCTATTCCATTGATTTTTCATTTTCAGGTCAGGAAGTGTGGACACCAACTGGATATTTATATACGACTTCGTAGAGGATTTCCTCAAAATGTTTCAAAAGTATGACTTCTCCATGTGGTGGGGCTTTCACAATGCCAGGCAGAGTGCCTGTTTGCTTAGACCCAGGGGGCATGGGTATCTTGGATCAGCAGCATGAAGTCCTGAGTGGAGTTCTGAACCAGTCAAAAATGCAGTTTAGTCAGTTTCCATGGGCTCCAAAGGTCTTGTAGACTTCAGATTTTTCCAGTCTTGGTGTCAAGCCACAGTGTGGGAAATACTAACTGACTGGAGGATGTCACAGATTAGAAACCAGCTAACCAATAACACTGTAAAAAAAAACTTCTTTAAATAGTTCCAAAGAAAATGGCAAAAGACCCTCAGGGCAACTGTAAAGAAAAAGCAAGAGAAAATTCAAGGATGGTTTTCCCAGGATATGGACATTTGAACTAGGACTGTTAAGAATGAGGAAAAACAGGGTAACAAGAAGCATCAAGGAGACTTCCTGTGGAGGGAGTGATCTGTTTAGGGGAGAGAGGGGTTAACTCACAAAAGGGGTACAATTGAGACTGGGACAGGACAGCTTGGGGTCAAGGCCAAAGGGCTCATACAGCCAAGCCAAGGGTTCGGGATTGCAGAGAGCAATAGGAATTAACAAATGACACTTGGGCTGAGTGTGGGTGATGAGGATTGTGCTCCAAGACATCTGATAATTCTGGGTAAAATGAGTGGGAAACAGAGCTACCGTTACATGGAGCTCATCAGGGACTAGGACAGCAATCCTCTAGCAGACAAAGGGGGCCGGTGACCCAGAAGACAGTGGGCAGGGAGAGGAAAGGGACTCAGGTATGTAAATGAGTGGCAAAAGGAACAATAGTGTCTCTTAGATGGGGGGAGGAAGGAAACATAGACCAGGAGGGAAGGGCCATGGGGTTCCAAAAATGTTTCAGTAGAAGGAGGCTACTCATGGGCAAGCATGGGGACCTTCACCTAGTGTGTGTGTGGCATGAATCATGCACTTATGTGTCTGTGTGTGAGTGTTTGTGTGTCCTGTGTGTGTGTGAGAGAGAGAGAGATTGAAAAAGAGAGAAAGGTAGAGGATGGGATCTAGGGATAGAGCAGGACACCACCCTGACAGTCTCCCTGGATCGCCACATATTTGCTGGCCTCAGAATCCTTTACTAAATTTATGGTAACTTCTGGAACTCAGGAAGGGGTCACAGGCTAGAGGGAAGTGAAGACAGGCTGGTGTCCCCTCCCAGGCTGCTCATGGGGTCATTTGTACCTCTGTTTATGACTCTCACATACACGTGCTTCCTCCCCAGCCCGAACATGCAGGTCTCCATCGTCACCTTCTCCACAAGGGGCCACACCATCCTAAAGCTCACCTCGGACAAGTAAGTTCAGATTCACTCCCTCAAAGCAAACCTACTGGTGGTGGGAGGGGGGAGATGGAGACCATGGAGAAAACTCGGCAGAGGAGTCCTGAGTTTCAGTCAGGAGCCCACAGGCTTGCTGCTTGGACGGGGCTGGTTTCTACTCAGAGACCACCCTGTGCCCCCAGCATCTACACCCAGCCCCTCTGATAACTCTGGCACTGACACTGGCAGCTCCTGTGTTTCCAGACAATCTCTGCCACTCAGCCTTGCTGTGCCGGCTCAGATCTTCACTTGGATCAGCCTGATCCAGCTCCCCTACCACTATGTCCCACTCCCACCTGTTATGTACCTTAGCAGAGCTAGTAAAGGACAAAAGTGTGGCCATCTGCAGCTCACTGCTCCCCTGCCAGCATGGGCAGCACTTATGGCCCCTTCCCTGGCCTTAGATTTTCCCTGTCAGGAGCTCTGATGTAGGGACTCAGCACTCAAAGCAGCTTTGCTGCTTCCTGCAGATCCAATCCTGATCGGAGGGAGGCTGTGAGTTCTAAGTCACCCTCAGTGGTCCAGGGCAGAGAGGAAGGGACAGGGCAGGGGTATTGCCAGGGTGACCCTTACCAAACAGCCTTGCCTGGTAGAGGGTGATGAGCCCCACTGGGGACCCCTGAGGTGCTGGCAGTCCCATTGTGAGTTCCAGTTCACATTATTGCAGTCACAACTGCTCCCCACTCTGCCTGTGGATTGTCAGACCCTTCATGAAGCCTGCTGGGTCTATGAACCTGATACAGTGATGAGTACAGACAAGGTCAATTTCAAAGACCCCTGGCTAAAGGCCCATGGCTCGGCTTCCTGACTGTGGCCTCCCTCGTCAAGGTCAGTCTGCTCAGTGCAGAATGTGCCAGCACAGATGGGGCTGTTTGAGAACACTCCACCCTTCTTCCTACCTCAATACTCCCATTTTATTTTTTTTAGAAAAGAAATCGAAGACGGTCTCAACAAACTACGCAACACAGTGCCTACCGGAAACACAGACATGCAGGAAGGATTTAAAGCGGTACAGCCAGAGCTCTAAGAATTTATCCTGCTTTAGCAAGTGCTCAGAATATCACTGAGTCCTCTCAACATGCCTTCCTGTTTTTGCAGGTCAATGAGCAGATCTCCACAGCAAACTCTGGAGGTAAGCTCTGCTGACTTCGAGACTGTCAGATCCTGGACAGTCAGGCCAAAGCACAGCAGTCTGGTGGCCCCCACTTGGAGCTGACTCTTGTGCAAGTTTCCTGCCCAATAGGTACTCCAGGCTCCTCGTCTGGAAGGGCAGAGGGGAAGGGCAGCCCCCCTGCTCATTCAGAGACTTGCGCGGTCATGGGTGTACATTCCTGGTGTTTATTAAGTATGAGGCACCCGATCTACAGGTGAGCTTGTGGAAAAGGGAGAAAGGCCAGGGGGCACCTCGGGTAGACAATACTCCGCTTATGGAATAAAAGTTCTTGATTTTCCCCTTGCTGACCACCCTATGCCGCATTCCCATGGCTGGAGCTGCCTCCTTCCCCTTCATCGTCTATCCTCTGCTGACGCTCCTGCTGGCCCGTGTGTCCCCAGGGCTAGCAGCTGTGTCAGCCCAGCACCCTCTCCGTTGGGATTGAGTCTGTAGGGTGGATGCTTCAGGCACAACTGGTGAAAGTGGGAGACTGTGAGGAAAGGCTGACATCTGGACTCAAGGTCCACTCCCCAAATATCTCTTCCCTGTTTCTGACTGACTGGGCCCCAAGGGGCCAGCAGTAGTGCCTCTGCCTGCTCTGAGCCTGAGGGACAAGTTTTTGTTGGTGAGGCTGCTTCCTCATTGCTCTCGGGAAAGGCATGAACTTGTCCATTGAATTAGCAGGACTCGCCCTCAGGAAACAGGATCTGCCATCTGTGGCAGTGAGAATCCAGGAAGGAAAGTCCTCAGCCAGGCTCAGTCTCCTCCTCTGTAAAGTGGGTTGGCGAAGGAGTCTTCTTCCTCCAGCGGGTGCTCCATAGCCCTCTAGGCGCTCAGGAACGGGGCTGCGGGGGTCTGGCAGCCTCTCTCTGGAGAGGAAGCAGGGGCAGTGCATGGCCTTCACACCTGTGGCAGGTCACTCTGGGTGCCTTTACTGACCAGGACCTCCTGCTTCTCCCACAGAAAAGAAAGTGCACTCCATGGTTGTCTCCCTAATTGATGGAGCACTTTGGCCAGAGTCCTTTCAGGCTACGAAGAATGAAGTGAGTCCAGCCCGCCTTGACCAGCCTTTGCTCCACATGTTTAGTGATTTGCACTTAACACGGTCTTTGTCTTAGGCTCAGAGGACTCGACAACTGGGAGGGACTGTTTATGTTGTGGGTGTCAACAACTTCGTGAAAAACCAGGTAATTCAGAACAGCCGCCAACTGAGGAGTCTCGTGGAAAACGTTGGCAGGGCCACCCAGAGGATGGCTCTCTAACCCACCCCATGTAATGGACAACATGTGACCACTGCAAAATGAGTAACTGTGTTGGAGCCCACAGACCTGGGGAACAGTTAGAACTTTCCATTCCAGACAGTTGGCCTGCTGGCCAGGGTGGGGCACTGAGTTTCACATGGCATGAGGTCTGAACCTCAGGTCCGGGATGGTTGTCTGCTGGCCCCTCAACCCTGCTGTGGGTCCAAAACTTCTGCTCCTCTTGTAGCTCCTGCCAATTGCAGACAGCGAGGAGCATGTGGTTGGCGTGCACAGTGGATTCTATGATCTCAAGCACATCATTGACTCAGTGAGAGAGGGATGGTGTGGAGGGTGGGATGAGGTGGCTCTTACCATGCCCACTCTTCACTTTACCTGACCCGATCCGCTCTCTGTTCCAGCTTGTAGCTAAGTCCTGCATTGAGCTTACAAGTGTGGATCCGCCCATTCACTGTGTGGGAGGTAAGAGCTGAGTCTCTATTCTAAACAGAGGCTTTTGTGCTTGTGTGTGTTGCATGTTGTGCTTCGATGTGTGTGATGGATGTAGTGTATTGTGCAGTTTAAATGTGTGATGTGAATACATACGTGTAAATGCTCTTTATTCCCAGTTTTCATGAGCTAGAGTTGACACACAGTTCTATGTAAGTTGAAGGTATATCACATAATGGTTTGACATATAAAACTTGAAATGATTACCACAATAAGAGTGTATAATTCTTTTTCAATAACAAAATCAGAAGTTTAATTTAAAAATGAGGAAAAACATTACATAGTAGCAATTAAACCCAAGATCATCTGACAAGTAGAATACTCCTGAGCCAATATGGGATCACCCCAGAAGCACAGGGCTGATATAGAGTTGAAACATCAGCGTATTCCTCCCATCAGCCAAATGAAGAAGAGGAAATGAAGTGTATGAAGTGTATGAAGAAAAATTTCAAAGTCCAGTGTCTTAATAAGGGCATAAGGTGTCCAGCATCCCTCCACGCAAACACTCCCAGCTGACATCAGCTTCAGGGTTAACAGGAAGACCTCTCCTGAGAGCTCGACCAAGACGAGGATGTCTGCTCCACCAGAGGGTCCTGCAGCACTGCAATGATGAGGTCTGGGCACTTCCCTTAGGCTACAAGGCCTCTCTCTGTAAGGGCCTGTGAGTGCAGGTTGTGCTGCCGCAGCCCTGGAGCAGACAGAGGAGGCCCACGGGTAAGCACGCCCTTCCCGGGAACAGCACACAGCCTGACCCACCGCATCCTGACCCAGACAGCTGACTCTGCCTCTGTGTCCTTGCCGGGAAGGCTGGAGCACCCTCACCTGGGTCAGACAGAAGGCTGCTCCAGCTGAGCTCTGCTGCCCGTGGCCAGGCCCAGGGAGCAAGGGACCCAGATCTGCCAGCTCCTCTGCTCTCTCCAAGAGGCAGAAAGATCAATACCCACCGTCCGCTCCGTGAGAGAGGGGAGGCCAGTGGACTGTGCAGGGACCAGCTCAGAATAGATGCAGGCAGACTTAAGGAAGAGTCGTGGCGCTCATATTCCCAAGACTGACCATGGCTCCGTTGCCCATGTTTGCCCAGGCGGGGAGGGCGTGGCTACAGAGCTTCCAGGATGGAAGAGTCTCTGGACTCATCCTGACTTCTCTGAACCTGTAACCTGCAGTGCCTCAAGTGGGCTGGGTTAGAAACACACTTGCCCCACCACCCACAGCACACATGGGTCTATCCTTGTTTTAAGTCCCCACCCATGCAGGCAACTGGCAGCCTGGTTTCTCTGGGCATGTCCAGGGAGACACCCAGGCAGGAGTGTCTGAGCAGCACGTGAACACAGAGGGGTGCGGAGACCAATCATACCCACCCAAGGTGACAGGAGCCCTCACCACACCCCCTGCCAGCCTGGCCCAGCAATCCCTGCTCTGTCCTTGTAAACTGTCCTCTAGTCAACCGCTGCCACCCAGCGTCACAGTCATTTGTGGTAAAGTTCAAGGCAGACATCTACACTCCCTAAAACAGGAGGAGTCAACTGAGACACATAGTGGCAAGGAGCCTTGGGGCACAGGTGAGTTGAGCACAGGGCTCAACCTCCTCAACCCCACAGGACACCTCAGATTCCAGGCAGAGTCCTCTGCTCCCTCCCTGCCTCAAGGTCCTTGCTCCAGCCCACTCTCCTGAGGTCACAAGAGGGCTGAGAAGGCCCTTTCCCTAATCCCAACCTGGCTGGGTTGGTGAGACCCGCAGATGGACAAGCAGGCCCTGCAGATATGCCCTCTTCTCTCACCCTGCGGACCCAGAGGCTGGGCCCGGGCTAGACTTCCTGCAAGCCCTTTTCCTGCTTTACGGGGTTCAGTCAACTAGTCCTTTAGGATCTTTCTCTCAGGTCCACTGACCCAAGAAGCTTTTCCTGGTCACTTGGCCCCCCTGGCTCTACCCAGATTCCTCTCATTCTCCACTGGTCATGCAATAATTCATGACTACTGCTTAACTGTGATGCTTGCATTACTCATTCAATCTGATTGTCTTTCAGTCTTTCATTACTCACGTTTCCAAACCTGTAGCAAATGGAAGCAATTCTACAAGGAGATCCTCTAACTGGATTTCTCAATTAAGAGCTGAGCTAATTATCACTTATTATCTAGCTCCCTCTCTCTTTCTCTGTCCCCATCAATCCCTCTTATTTTTGAAAGTTTTCAAAATAAATTAGAGTCATCAGGCTGTTCCACACCCAACTTTGTCGTTCTGCTTATGACAAACAAGGGACCAATTTTCCCGAGTTGTCTTTTTGAAATGCACTCATCATCGCATCACAGGTATATTATTTATGAGTCTCACAGATGCACACACACATCTGCATAACGCAGACCCCATGAGGACACACACCACCACAGCTGCCCCTCAGTCCCCTGCATCCTGGCGGCAGCGCCTCTCCCGTCTGTCCCATTGTAAGTCTACCAAATATAACTACCATGAATAGGTGATCCTATTCTAACATATAGGTGATCCTATATGCTAACATCTCATTCTACATACACTTCCAAAAGGCATTTTCAATAAGCGGGAGCACACGGAACATTAGATTGTCCACCTTCCACTGTATGCAAAAGCCAAACCTTGGTGTCTTTGGTTGATATTCCGGTACTTCCTAATAAGTTGGAACACAGTCCCTGCCCCTGGTCACGTCCTCATTCTGACCTCTCTGCGGCCACTTGACAGAATTTCCCTGGGGTGAACGAGAAGTAGAATAGCCACAATAGGGGAAAACAGGGCACTAGAATTAGCTAGACATGAGATTGAGCCATCAGTGCAGGATAATGACCTTGACCTACAGCAAGAAGGCCTTCATAGTATCCTGTCTAAATCCAGGCAGCCAAACCCACAACTGCCATCACTGTATCCCCTTGTATTTATTCTAGGGGAGAAGATCCCCAGTGTCCAATCAAGGGGGGTAGGACAGATGTCCCTTAGCAAATCACTCCCCACCCAGCAGAAGGAAGTGCTTTCCATGAATCCCTAGGCAGGGAAGAGAGGAGGCTGCAGAGGGTCAGTAAGAGTGGAAGAACAATCATCTTCAGGGATCTGCCTCACAGCTAAGGGAAGGGGGACTCTTTGGTAGAGGATCAGCAGCTCCTTTTGGTCTCACTGGGTCGCACCTTATTCCTGAGCTCACTAGTCTGCCAGGGGCACACAAAAAGGTGGTGAGGAAGAACAGACCCCATATGTCAAGTAATTTCACAAGCAACAAGTCCAGGGTGCTCAGTTCAAGCCAGAGACAGAGTGGTGCATCCTTGGTTGTCTCTCGCCGATCTTGTTTAAGATGGCGCCCTGGTGGAGGATGGAAAACACTGCCTGCACCCCTTAGGGAGTCTCAGAACTTAAAGATTGTAAACCCACATCGGGTTTATTTGTGGAGATGGGACTAGGTGGAGGCTTGTTGGGCTGTGCCAGTTAGCAGCTGTGGTGAGAGTGCCGGAGAGCTCCACCCAGCCTCATCACAGTGGCCCTTCAGAAACACCAGGTGAGCCTCAGGAGACACCCAGATGTTGGTTCAACAGCTGTCTCCTCCAGGAGTCCCTTGGGGGCTCCATTTGGGGGTAGACTGCCATAGTATCAGATCAGCAGACAACAGAGCTCAGCCCTCCTTACACACACTTTTGGATGTTGCCCTTGCAGAAAACTACAATGTAGGCATCTTTGGAAGAGGTTTTCATAACACCAAAAACAAAAACGAAGTTCTTTGCAGATTTCAGATAAGTGACACCATATTTTTTGGTAAGTAGCTCCCTTGCTTTGAACAAATAACAAATTTCCCACAACATGCTCTCTTCCCTCAGGCACCATGCCTCCAAAACCCTTGATGCCCATACGCTATGGGTGCTGGGAGGACAGAGGCAGCATCGAGAGTGGAAGGAGGGACGTGGGTGGGACCCATCCATCCCCAGCCATGAAAGTGCCTGGGGTTAGGGCTGTTCCCTGTGAGGAGGGTCTTCCCTCACAGTTGCTTCCCCCGAGGTTTCCTCATCTCTCACTTTCCCTGAGAGACAAGGACCCCAATCTCATGGTTCGACCAGGTGAAACTGGAAGCTGTCCTGGGCTCTGAGTTCATGCCAGGTGCACTGGTAGCTTCCCAGGAGGGAATATTCACCTTCAATTGAGAGAGGAGGCCAAGCAGAGGTGCAGGTCCTGGGATCTGGCACAGGCACACATTCCCTGTGTGACCATGACCGTATGAAATTTCCCTTCTTGCTCGATTTCCCCTACTGTGAAACGGGAGCAATATAACAGCTGCACTAACTAAGCTCTACGACGTATGGAAGGCATTATCTGGCGATACTCGCACATCAGGTGTACCTCCATGATGGAGGAACGGCCTGAGGGAGCACACAGCTTGGACAGGCTGGTGTCCTGCCCTCATGGTGAGGTGGGTGTGATCATCCCTACAGAGTGTCTGGGGTCCAGTTGGATTCCCGAAACCCTCACTCTCTCAGCCTCTTGAAAATGTCATTTCATGTGATGTGATATTAAATCAATGCCTATTGCAGGACCATGGGATAAACCCAGAGCAACTCCTCTCCCCAGCGCACTCCTAGCCCATCTCTCCTTGCTGCCAAGGGTGCAAAGAATAAAGCAGGGAGTGCCACTGCCACACCCAACCTCACCATGCGTAGCTGGCCTTGGGGAATTAGCTTTCCTTTGTTCTATACTTCTCAAGAGTGATGCAGGGACTGAGAACTCCGTCATAGAGAAGTAATGCATTCTGAGTGGGCGTATGTTCGCAGGGCCTTACATGCAGTATCCTGGTTCTCAAAAGAGGCCTATTAGCACTTCTTTGAATGGATTTGCACCTGTAGCAGTCATCCAAACATTTTGCCCAACATCATGATCCTACGGGGCTGTGCATACCAGCCTGCATCTGTCTACAAGTTCAAAGACATGGTTTCAGCCAGGGTCATTAAATGTCCAATTAAACAGAAGGCCAGGGAAAGGATTGTCCTATGGATCACTGTGGTGAAAAGCAGGTGGCCCTTGATTCCAAATCCCAGAGGGGAAGCATGGGGCCCTGCGGAGCCTACCTGGGTGCATGGAAGGGTAAATCAGACTCTAAAGGGAGCTGATCCTCAAAACTTGGCCACAATTCAGGGGTAGAAAGAACTCAGAAGTAAGCAGTATCCACAACTACAAGTCAGGGAGCTCTTTTGAGTCTTCTGACTGCCATGCTCACTTAAAATATCAGTAAGCAAAACCATAGAAGAAAGAAATCCCCTATGTCAATAAATAGCACCCCCATCACCCACTTGAGCTGGTCAAAACCTGCATGTCATCCTTGATCCCTCTTTGCTTTTACCCCCATATTCAGTCCAGGGTAGGTCCTATTTCTTTGATGTCTAAAGCATGTGCTGAGATGGCTCACCCCTCAACAGACTCATTGTCCTTAGATTAAAACCCGAACTCTTCCAGGACCATGACGTCCATCCTACCTTTCATGTTACTTTTTCTACAAGTCAGGTAGTGCTGCCTCAGGGCCTAGGCACATGCTGTTCCCACAGGGCAGAACCCTCTGCCCTGGGACCTTGCCCTGGCTTTCACTCTTCACATACAGTTACAGGATAGCACCCTCATAAATAATTTATTTCTAATGAAAATGTTCAAAATAGGGCCTCCCTGTTCGCACAAGGGGTTAAAACACCGCACTATGAAGCAATCCGCAGCCTGGGCAGCATGAGTTCGATCCCCGGCTGGCCAGGGAGCAACCCAGATGGCGAGGAAGACCTCTGCTGTCTTGTCTGCTGCTCCTCTCAGCAGTGCTTTTCAGTCAGTCTGCCTGTTCTGCTCCCCATCTGTCTCTGGTGAATCATCTCACCTTCTGCATCTCTGGCCTGTACCCCAGCTCTTGTATGCATGAATAAATCTTTTAAAAAAATGTTCAAAAACATTTAAAAAATAGAATTATTGAAAAAAGAACTTGAAACAGCATCACTTAATTTCAGTAATTCAAAATAAGATAATCAATGTTTTGAAGTAATACCAGCATGAATTCACTTAATGGATAAATATTTCAGTTTTCATCAACATAACACAGATCACCCTGTTCCTAGTGCCTGCTTGATCCCTCCATCCATGTCCCAACCCTTTTCATTAATGTCACAATTTTAATTCCCTGGCATTTAATTAATTTTTTTGTGTTTTATGGCCTGCTTTCCCGCCAACCCCACAAACATAAGCCCTGGAGAGCCAGATCCCATTCAACTCAGATCATTGCCCTTGCTAGTATGGGCAGCTGCTGAGAGGGCAGAGAGGAGACGCTGCATCTGCCCCGCAGAGCTGCACCACCCAAGGGCAGGCAGACGGGAGTGGGGGTGGATGGGCACGTCCACTGACTTTCTTCCTGTCTCATTTGCTTTAGATGAAAAAGCCACCCAGGTGGAAGACACCAGCATAAAGTGTCCAGGAGTGATGATAGAGATACCAGCCAAGTAAGTGCTACTGGGTCAGGCAGGCATTTTCACCCCAAGAGATGCAGAATGTGGGGCCACCTCTGCTGGGCAGCATGTGACGTGCTCTGGGAGGCCTCAGGGCATCGTCCTGATCTACCCATCTTGGAGCTACCCCGATGAGCTCAGGTATCTGCTATGCTGCAGCCCAAGTTGCGGAAAGAAATGGACAATGAGGGACCCAGGGGGGCTCCTCTATTCTCAGCAGCCTTCAGAGTGGAGCCAGAACAATACAAATACACAAGAGTCAGGATGGTGACACCACACAGCCTCCCTGGTCACTGAGCTCGTGACCACAAAGCATCTGACCCCATGCAGAGTCCCTCACTGGTCATCCTCATCAACAAGGTGTACCTCGTGCGACTTGGGGTGGGGTCTCCTCCCCAGGCCGTCTGCCCTCCAATAGCCCCGAATGCCTGATGTTCAGAGCCATCACAGTAGGGAGAGCTGTGGGCTATGGTTTGACCAGAAACCACGAGCTGTGCCAACCTGCACTTGTGGTCCCCTTCTGTCCCCTCTGTGTTTAGTGAGATCTCTGTTGAAGTGAGCCTGAACAACGGTGCCAGCTTCATCAGCAACGGGCTCAAGATCAGCAGCAAGGACTGTGGGAGTCACAGAGTATGTACATGGATTCCCTCTGGGCTGCCCAGACCCTGCTCGGAGGAGAGAGTCATGCTAGGGAGACAAGAGAGTGGACCAGTGCCCATGTAGGCCTAGCAAGTAGCAGGTGCTGGCAGGACTGGGCAGCATCTCCTGTCAATGAGGCCCATAGCCCTTCATCAGAGTTTGAACATACCTGGGGGCTTCTAGGAGCCCTGGAGTGCAGCCATCTTAGCATGACAGACGCCCTCTACTCTCTGAACACTGTCACTGAAGGCACGTACAAGGGAGAAATAAGCACCCAAGCAGATTGCAGAAATGGTGTTGAGGACCTTCCCATGTTAAATACCGCCTGGACAGCAACCCTAACCTGCTCTGTGGTGAGGCAGTTGGGGAACCATCTTAATTCCAGTGGGGGTCAGTGGGGGTGCTAGGAGGTTCAGTGCAAGGAACCAGACTCCAGAATCTGGGCACCGGGCCTTCCCAGCAGGCTCCAGGCACAGGGGATGTGTTGGGCACAGCTGGGCCCTGTACAGTCAGGGTGCGTTTCCTCTGCATTGTTGCCCCATGTGTGACCATCACAGCCCCTGGGACCCTGAGGACACTGGCTGTCATTTTTCTGATGCCTTCACCCCCTCCCCTCCTTCCTCTTTCCCCACACTCCTCAGCTGTCCTGGCTGCAGCTCTCCCTACATCTCTCTCCTCAGCGCGTGGAGAAGCTATCAGGGCCCTGGGAGGGATCAGGAGTCATCTCAGCAAGGGACACCGGGGAATGAAGGTGACAAGCTCTTTCCTTGTCCCCCATCACCCGGGCACCGTAGCCCAGGGCAGTGAGGCATGGCAGTGGCAAGCATTAGGCTGGAGAAGAGTGTGCTGGGGAGCAGGGCTTCGGTGCCCGATTGCCAGAGCCCGGTGTCTTGTACCTGCTTGTGAGGGTCCCCACCAGCTGACATCTCTGTGTTGTCTGAATTGTGTCTGCACATCCGCTCAGACCGGCCAGAGGATGCGCATGAGCCACTCAGGAGTCCCGCGGACTCACAGCTCGTCTGTCATCAGGCCCATGAGGAAAGTCCTCAGGAGAAACTCAGGGCAGATCCCCGGAGTGCAGGTGAGCAGCCCTGACCTTGCCGTTCTGCCACCCTGTTCCCGGGCACCACACCTCTCTCCCGCCTACTGCTCTGAGCAGAGACTGTGTGGTGTCCCACCTGAGACCCTCTCACCCCAGATTCAGAACCACAGCCAGAGACAGCCCCTTTATTCAGCCCCACATGGACCTGGCCTGTGCCAGGACTCTGATGTCCCGCCACACCTCATGGCCCTCTCACCTCCTGCTCACGAATGTGGACACGGAGTCTCAGAGAGATTGAGGAGCTCAGCCAATGGCTCAGAGCCTACAAGAGAGGGAGGCTCATGTACAATGGTCCTGGGTCTCCTGCTCTGCTCTTGCACACCCAAATTTCAGGGAGCCCCACCCTCCCCCAGAAACCCATCTGTGTATGTGTACAATTCTGTGTCCCTGCACTGCCAAGCAGGGCTTGGGGTGGGGGCTGGGCTGGTCTCTCCTCAAGGATTCTGGTTTCCTTGACAGGGCTCTGGGCTGAGCCTCTGAGCACGGCCAGTGGGGCGGGTGTGTCCCATCTCCACAGTGGGCACTGAGCATAGTTGGGCTGAGTACTTGTGTTCTGCCCAGATGGTAATCTACAGAGAATTAAAGTGGGCTGATGGGCGTCTAGACTGCATGCTCGGCAGTGGGTGTCTAGGAGGCCCCAAGCCCTCACTCCTGGTCTGTGGTCTTTTTGCCGAAGGTGAATGCACCTGCCATTCCCAATATGTTAGCCGCACTAACTGGAAACCAAAGCTCAAATCGCTCCAAGATCAACACTTACCACTTGGCTGCATCATTACTGATACTACTAATACCTCTGATGATAGGGTGCTTGTGGCGACTCCACAGCAGAAAGGTGAGTGCCCCAACCTTCACACCTCCCTGAGCCCAGAAAACTCCTCTAGGGAACAATCACCTGCTGCTCTGGTCTCTGCTGCTCACCTCAGTGCACAGTCTTAACAGGAGCAAAGGAAGACAGACTCTACCCTCCATTCCGAGGCAGAGAAATGACCTGGCAGGGGCCTCCTACTTCATGCTTGTTAGTCTATGTTCTATTTGCTGCCTGGTTCTTGGGGAGAAGGGCTCAGAATCCCGGCAGGGCTGCCTCGTGGCCCCTGGACTCTGAGCGTACAGGCAGACAAGAGGCTGGGATGAGGACTCAGCTCTGTTGAGGGAAGAAGCAGGGGCACAGCAGGGGCACAGAATGAGCAGGAATCCCAAGCTCTGGGCAGCGAACTTTAGAAATTAGCAGGGAAGAAAAGAAAAAAGAAATCAGCACGGTGTCTGCACATCCAGTGGTGCTTCCACTTCCCTCTATCTTCTTCCTGAGTGCCAAGGAGTGCTGTCAATACCGGGCACACAGGGACAGAAAGGAAGCAGTTGCCAGCCTGTCCAGAGCAGCTATAGTCTGGGGTCTGGGCAGGTGTTGGTACCTGGTGGGGCATGAGGTGGACCACACAATGCCACGTTCTGGGGGCCACTAGCCCTGATAGCGCAGAGCAATGGCAGAGGACAGCCGGGCCAGGATAGGGGGACAGCAGAGCATGGTAGAGGCAGTAAGAACACTGCTGGATGGCGAGAAGGAAGAGCATAGGAGAAGGCACAGCAGCAGCCAGGAGTGAGCAGGGCCCGGAAGACAATGCATCCCCTCAGATAACTGAGGAGTCAGGTGCTCAGGGACATGCAGCCTGATGGCCACAGACCCAGAGGGTGGGCACCCACAGTGACACCCAAACCATGTTCTCACTCACTCCCGCTGAGCAGAGTCCCCTCCTGCCTGTGTGGACCAGCCAGAGCCCTGCAAAAACCTTTCAAACTGTGTATGTCTCTTTCACTTTCTAGAACAAGACGGTGGTGAGTTGTTTTTTTTTTGTTCCTGGTGCCCACACAGACTTCACAAACAGGCCTCCTGAGCTGTGGTATATCTCCATTTCCCACCCCACCATCTCCACCTACCTGGACAGAGAGAGCTGGCAGAAAGCAGGGTGACAGAGGGGCAGGGAGGGAATCCTGGGCAGACCTAGGACTCACAAAATGTCATCAGACAACACCCCTCCATGCTCCCAAAGGTCTGATCCAGAGCCTCCGTCACATTATAAATTGAAGTAGCTGTTTCAGTAAGTGCCATGATCCACAGTGACATGACAAGGGCTTTATTTTTGGTTTTAAATTTGTCAGTTCCCAAAGATTTTTCATTGGCTGGTCCTTCCCTGGGTTAAGTGAGCAGTTGGAAAAGGAACCTCAGGGTTCCAGTACTGGTCACCCCCCTGCAGTCTCTGACCCTGTTGGGTTGCATTTCTTTGGTTTCCTCCTTGTTTTCTGGCAGGTTGGGGGATTGACTGGGCTTGTCCTTTGGGGATTTCAGGGCTGAGGAGGGTGGAGGGAGTCTTACCTGGCATGAGCTGTGAGGGAAGCCCAGGCCAAGTACACCAGGGACCAAGGGTCAGCTGAGCTGCCTGTGGCTCTCCTGGGTAAGGAGGCCCAAACAGCACCCATAGAATTTGCACAGCAGAGCCACTGTGATCTCTAAAGGGGAGAACTAGGAAGCAGGCCCCACTCAGAGGCTGGCCTCGGTGCCAAAGCACTGTGGTCAGGGAGGCTGCATCTGCCAACACCGGGCCAATCAGCCTTTGTTGATGCTCCTCCCCAATGTCCACCTTTACACTGTCAAACCCCATGACCAGGCTTCTCCAAAGGGCAACGCAGGAAACCCCGGGGGCAGGAGAGAATATTTTGCCCTTTGGAGAAGGATTATCTTTGCAAAATATGTGGAGTTTGCCTGTGCTTCCCACGGAGGGCCTCCCTTGCAGTATAAGGTGCTGTTAATCAGTTGTCCTTGAATCCTCCCAACAAGCTTTAGCTGAGGGGCCAGAAGTTGACAGGTGCCAGGGCAACACCTCATGTGTCTGCACTTGGAACTGCCACTCAAAAATTTCTCTTCCTAGCAACCATGTGCACCACCAACATGCCCCACGGTGGTGGTCCCTGGATATGACAACCTAACACAGCTAGAGGTAAGAAGGGCCCTCGGGGAGGGTGTTATGTGCCTGGCTAGGGCTGTGGAAGAAAGGTACAGACAGGGCGGGCCCAGAAGGCATGGCTTGGATGGAGATGAGTTTTAAAGTAGCTGAACTTTGCTCCCTTGGCTGCAGTACCTGGCTCTCCACTCAGTGGGCCGAGGTTTATGGAAACAGTGACTACACAGAGGTTCTCATCAGCACCAACAATGACTTGGGTTCCCTGAGCAGTAGGAGTGGGTTAAAACAAAATCACTAGGTTCCTGAAGGTCAGAATGTAGAAGAAATAGGAATTTCTGAGTCAAATTCTTTCCCCCATTAAGTGGAAATGCTGGTGCACCTGACGCCCACAGAAGCCAGCTCAGCAGAGGGAGGGAAGGAACAGCTGCCTTGTCCTCCTGCCCTCACCCAGGGTGACAAGGGCCACGTGGAGGAGGAGCCTGAGGGAATGTCCTTCCCCAGGAAGTGCTGGGCCGCCCTGCTGAGACACATCCCGCACTGGGGGCCCCCACCACAAGAATAGAGTCCAGATGGCTGGGGTGGAGGAAGAAACAGCCCACAATTTCTGCCTGGCTTTGCCCCTCCTCCTGGTCATGCCTCTGTCCTGGTTGGGCCATGGCTTCCTCCAGGAGCTTCTATGGCATCAGGAGAGCCAGCCCTGCCTTCCCCTCAGTGTGCGACACAGCGGTGCCCAACACACCTTCCAGAGAGGAGGAAGCCCTGACCAAGGGCTCGTTCCTGCTCACAGGACATGGCTCCCCCTCTGAAAACACCAGGGTGGAGCTGGAGCGCAGGGTCCAGAGCTCCCCTAGGATCCCCACCAGGGATCCAGGTCACTCTCGGTCTGTCTTGGGCTGCCTCTTCTCTCCACCCTCCGTCAGCAGGACCCTGCACACTCTCAGGGCATGGAGCCTCATCCTGCCTTTCCTGGTGGACCTCACAAGTGCAGGCCTCCTCCTCCCTTCCTTCTAGCTCCTTCCCAGGTACCCCCGCGGACACCTAATGTTCCCCTCCAAGACACTGCATATCACCTCTAGCCTTGTACTTTAACTCTACTAGTAGCTCCTGGCTTGTCCTGCAAAAAACAATGATTTATCCCTAAACAATCCCTGACCCACAACCTCACCCCCCAAAACAGGTCCCTTGCACAAGTAAAGGCCATAGTGTATCCCAGGGAGTTTGTGGGGACAGAGCTCAGGTGCCTTTGGGAACTGGAGCGGACACTGTCCCGCTGGAGGCAGCAGCCAGCTCAGAGCTTCCTCACAGGCTCTTCTGCTTTCCAGGACAAACTGGACACTTTGCGCATGCAGATCATGGGCAATTTTTTTCAAAACCGCAACCGGGGCCCAGCGATGTGTTGTCAGCCCAGGCACAAGGTATGCAGGGCTCAGGGATGCTCCCCAAGGAAACACCTTCTGCTTATTGCCCTTGACTGCCCTCTGGGACTTTAGGGTGCTGGCATCTGTCAAAAGAATGTCAAAGACATGGTGCCCTGGACACATGGTGCCCAGGAGCCTACCAGCTGGTTCTTGACAGCAGACCGTGTGTTTTCCTTGATTTTCATCTCAAGCATGGCAGGAGACAAATATAGAACATTATCCAGCACTTCTAAATTTAAATGAAAAGTCGGGATAATCAGCCTGTTGGGAGTGGTAGGTACCTCTACCCCCTCCCAGCACCAGGGCTGTGGGTCAGCTGCTGCCTCTCATGCTGAGGCCCTCCTGGCTGGGATGGAGACACACCCTCAGAGCACACCTGGTAGCCTGGGGAACTCTGGGTCCCTCATTTAGTCAGAACTTGTCCTTATTCACCAGTCTCCCTGGCAGGGCATGCAGAATCAGTCAGCAGCCAAGCGAAAGAGGTTCAGTGTGAGAGGCCTGGGTGGCTGGGAGGGTGGGCACACCCCAATACCTGAACAGAGTCTCACATAGGAGCCCAGGCTGACTGAGCACCCAGGGAGAGGAATGGCATCCTCCAAAGTCCAGCCTGTGGGAGTAGCCCCCATAAGCCACTGAAACCACAAGTTTCTGTTCCCATTACCAGTGCTGCTCACTGACCTCTCTCTTCTCTTCCCACAGCCGTGTTCCCTATTCAGGGCCCTAGGTAGGAGGATGTGCGGATACCCACGCTGCTGCCTTCAACCCAGCCCCGCGTGCTTTCCCTCCAACTGCTGCTGGACACGTTGCCCATATACCCCATGTCAACCTCCCCAACCCATATGCTCCCAGCCCCACAATTGGTCTGCTCCAGGCAGCCCTCCAGGATGTGTCCAATGATCCCTGCCCCTATGGGAAGATGTGGTGTAATCCCTTTGCCACTCCCATCTTCATAGCCCAGTCCCTAAATCTTCCAAATCCAATATTAAGTTCTTTATGTACTTAAGTGGACACTTGTGTCGAGTCTTGGTTTACAGTCAAAGGAGTTGGATGTGGTCCATCAGCAGAAGTGCTTCCCTGGCCAGCCCTGCTCCGCTGTGCAGGATGTGGCCACACTGCTCCTGCCTGGACAGAGCACCCCGGTGTCCTCTGGCTGTGCACATGGATGATCCCCTCCCCACAGCCTGGTCTTCATCAGCCACCAAGGGCTGGGCCACATCAGGTTTTAGCTAAATTCTGCTTTTGCAAAATGCCAGAATGTCCTTGAAAGAAAATACAATCCTTTCACCTTCACAGAATACATGGAGAGAAGAGCACTTGACTGTCTCACCTCCCTCACTCCCTTTTCTTTCATTTTTATCTTATTTTCATATGAGAAAAGACCCTCCAAAGTTCACTAATTAAAAGTGCACTTGTCTTTCCAAATACCCCAAACTGCCCCTAAACCCAGGAGGATTTTAGAAGATTCTCTCCACTTCCCTAAGAGAAGGTGAATCTCCCCTTTTGCCACCATGTATCCTGACAGGGATTTAGCACAGTGTTCTGGCACCTTGCCCAGCACAGGGCACCTGGGCACTGCCCCACATGCAGCCACACCACCCAAGGAACCCCATGAGGAACCCATGAGCCCTGGAGGGAGGGTCCCCCAAGTGGACCACAGCCAGCAGTCCCTGAAGCACGCCGATAGTGATCTAAACTACTGTCTTCAATATCCTTGAATGCCGTATTATGTTTCAGTTGGATTTCTCTCAGAAAGCTAAAGGTAGAAATATGTCAGGTTTGGGTTTTTCACTTGTATAGACTGAGTGGATGGATAGGGATGACTAACTTCCCCATGATTGAAAAGAATTTCTGCCATGATTTGTCTAAGTGCATGTGGATGGATTTGCAGGGGCACACTAAGTCACATGACATTTAGCCTTGAAAGCTTTATACCTGGATTTGCTTCTCCTTGTTGACCCCAACATGACCCCTTTAACAGGTGATATGGACCTCCCCCATGGCTGGTACAGGAGAGGGAGGGAGAGGATCTGACCCTCATGGGCTGTTCCCTTCCTGCCAGCAACTCTGACTCCCAAAATGTTTAAATGCCAAGCACAAGGATTTCAGAGAAATAAGCCAACTTAAAATGGAGGCCATATAGAAGGTGCTGGAATTATGTGGGGAAGGGAGAGCTCAGCGCTTTCAATTTGACCCATTCAGAGACTCCCTCCATGAGCAAAGGCAGGTGAAATAGCGAGAGCCAGCAGCGGCTCCACACTCGCCTCCTGACACCCTTCATGCAATGTGAGGCCTTGGCCAAATTTTGGTTTGGTTTATGTCACAGAGCTGTCAATTGTTCCAGAAGATGGCACTGAGAACTTTTTGTTTACTGGCCCAATTTAAAATTCCATTTTAAAATTCAGTGTTGGCAGTGTCATGGAACAAATATGACTGAGATTTCTGTTTCACCCTTTACTTGACAGCATACCCATCATATACCAGCTTCTGTCATCACGCTTTCACTCATGGAAGCTCTTTTTCCCCTTTCTGCACTTTGGAGATGATCCTTTTAAGCCTGGAAACACGAGAGAGTGCTCGGAGAATTGGGGCTGTCACGGTTGTGGAACCCAGCAGATGTTTTCCCAGCTCACAGCATATCACCCAAGCTCGTGTTATGAGCATCAGATCCACAGATGGGGCGCCCAGCTCTGTGCTGGAAGACTGGCCAGCCCCTCCCTCTGCCAGTGCCCGCCCTGCCCAGTATATGGTCTGCAGGCCTTAGAGAGCCGTGGAAGACGCCTGCCACTTCCCTGCCCTTCCCCCAAATCACCCAACCCCTCCTCCCTCTCTGCCATCTTGGGCATCTGGCTGACACTGCTCCCTAGCGTAAGGACTACTATTATCCCAGGGAACCTCAAATCCACTGAGAACCCACCCAACAGCAAGGGCTCCTGATCCTTGGCCTTTTCACAGTTTATGACAAAGGAGCCAACAACTTACAAAGAAGAGAAGGCAAGATGAAGGCAGCTCCAGCTGAATCCTTGCCCCCATTCTTAACCTCATTGTCCTCTCAAGGCAACCTGCAATGCCTTCTCCCCTTCCCACTCTCAGCATGCAAACAATAACATAGATCCACCGTCTGGATGCGTCACTGGTCTATACTTAACCACCAAACTGGGGGGAGCACACATGCCCCTCCCTGAGTAATTGAGGAGTAGGCAGGGCATCTGCTGTGTGTGCTGTTGCCCTGGGGAGGCATCTTCACCCTGAATAGGTTGGCCTTTGTAATTCATACTATGTCCACAAGAACTCAAGGCTCTGCATGCCACTGTGAATTTGGGATGGGTTGAAGTCGCTATAGCATCTGCTACAGAGGAGATGGAATTTTCAAGGGACTGAACTGTGTTCAGGGGGCACCAGCTGCAGAGCTTCTATGAGATTTCCCCTTCTCCATGTTGGCCGACCCCCTCTTCCTGACTCCAGTACCCAAATTCCCATGTGCTGTGAGCAGGAAATATCATGAAAGGCATCGAACCCCTAATTGGAGGAGACACTGCCTTCGTCACTGATAGGAGGAGTCTGCATTGCAGATTCATATCCTTCCAATGGATCCCCAAAACCATATGATTTGATTGCAATGAAATCATAACATTTGATTGTAATCAAATGTTACGAAGTTTGGGGAGAACAGAGATAGGGGGTTGTTTCTAAAATTAAAAGGTCAGGGGGTTGCAGTGATTTCCACGGAGCAAACAAGGTAGTAAAAGATCTCTCTCAATTTCTGGTCCGTGCAAACTATGAACATGATAAAGTGATTCTTCTTTGACTTAATAAGTTTGAGGTGGTCGATACATCAGTGGATAAGGGGAATCCCTCCTAAACAAACAAAATTGCAACACTTTCTTCAACTTCTAGACGCTCCCACCCTCTGAAAGACGGCAGTATTCACTCAATTGGCCATTACAGCACTCTGGTCTCAAAGCCATGACGCCCCACCAAGAGTGATGTCCTTCTCTGAGTCTTCCCTCTGCTCTGGGCGTTTGCCAAAACTCAGCTTCCTGGAGGACTTTAATGGCCATCAGTGAGGGCTCAATATAAGGGACAAATGGAGGTTTCTCTCACAGCCCCTTAATAGATGCCCTGACTCCTCCCTGGGAATGTCAGTAGGCAAGACAGTGAGCAGAGCTGCATGAGCCACCACAGGGTCGCCATGCCAACCTCCCTGTCCATCACAGCACAGGGCATTATGTCTCTATGGGTCAGGGAGACACCCTGGCAGGCAGTGGGGCCTCCTCCCAGTATAGTCCTACTCTGCCCTTAGTGCAGGTCTACTAGTAGAGGCTATTGTTACTTGATTAAAGGAAAGACTTGATTAAAGGGGTATAGGCCCCTGTACATTGCTTGAAAGAGTATAGGTCCCAGCTTGCCTGACTTAAAGAGGTTAGCGTCCCTTGCAGCCTCCAGGGCTGCCAAGGAAATGGGAGGCAGCTGCCTTAGGGTGCCTGGACTTGCATTCCTCCTCTTGCTGGTTTTGCCCCCTCTGCTGCCAAGCAGTGGGTCCTACCAGCAGAGAGCCCCGACCTGGCTAGATTTCCACCACCTCACTCGGGCCAGGAGAAGCCTCCCCAGCAACACCAACCAGGATGGGGAGAGCACCCGCCAGGGCCACAGCCAGGACACCGGGTCCAGGGAGAGGCTGGCAGATCACGAGAAATCCTGCCAGAACAATCTTGACCTCTATTTAATCTTGGACAAGTGAGTGGACTTCCTACTGGGCCAGAGACTTGGGGGGCATTACAGGGAGCTACTTTCTCAGCATGGATTAATAATGTCCTGGGTTTTTGCTTATCATTTTATGTTTTGTTTCTCACCCAAATCATTCCATTTTTACTGGCCTCCAGAATCAGTGCTGATTTGTCTCACTGAGTTGTCTCACTATAGTGTCACTGCCGAGAAAGTCCTTTGCTTTGCTGGCTAAGTGTTTTTGCTACTTTCTTCCACGAGCTACGTGTTTTCTGAACACTTTGCTCTCGGGTGTGGTCCCGAGAAAGCTGGGCTCTATATAAACCTTTATGACCTTGAAGAAGGAAAGTGGTCTGGGCATTGGCTTGGAGACACGGCCTTGGTCGTTCCCAGCTCCCCTGTAGGGCTGAGAATTAGCTTCCCCTCTTCAGTAGTAGCCGTGGTGTGATGTCGGTGACCTCATGGAAGCACGTGGCTGTTTCCAAAGCCCTTTCCCTGCTGTGCCATCCTCAGACAGCCTGGGGGAGAGCAGGGAGGGTGTGTGCCATCTCCTGGGAAGGATGAGCGTCCCAGAGTTGAGGGCAGTAGCCCAGAGACACTCAGGACGACTTATCCACTGCTGACAAACTAGGTATAGAAGTTATCTACAAATATGGTTTTTTCTCCTTTCACCTATTATATATATGTGTGAATGTTGGGGGCACATTTTGTGTCTTTGGGATGTGATAACCTCTTTATCACTATGACTATCCAATATTGTTTTATTTCCCCTGCATGAAATATCTTTTTCATCCTTCACATTCCATCTGTTTCTATTTAAAGTGAAATATGTATCTACAGGCAACACATCCATAACTGGCCTTATGTGTCCATCTAATCACACTGCTCTCTTTGCTTGATGAATTCAATATTTTTAAATTTGGAGTGATTATTGATATGTAAGAACTTGCTCCTGACAATGTATCATTTCCTAAATGTGATATATTTACATGATAGCTTTTTGTTTTCCTTCTGTTCTGCCTACCTTTGTAGACTGGGTTTCTTTATGTACATTCTGCTTCCCTTTGTAGCCTCTGCTTGTTTGTTGAATGTTTCTCTGTCAAAACCAGGACTTGGGGCTTGGAAATCTGCGTTTTTGTTAGCATCCTGCCATGCTACCAGCATTTGTTTGTAATTTATTTTAACAATTATCAAGTAAATGCATGAACACAAAATGAAAATCAAACACTGTTACGAAGTTCCTGCGAAAAACTCCAGGCTTCTTTCCCACCGTCTCCACTTCTGATCCCACAGCTCAGATCCCTCCTGAAAATCTTGGAGAATTTGTCAGGTTATGACTTTGTTTCTCATAACGGGCTTGTACTGACACCTTTCTTGCTGCTAGATAAGAAAGAGGCAGAGAGCTGGCCAAGGTTATTCTGCAAGGACTTGAAGGACCAGGAGAGTCAGAGTTACAGGATGTAGGAGGTTTTTTTCAGAAAAGCATCCTACTTCATGTCTTATCTAGAGCTAGTGTGGCACAACCAACCATCCCAGTTTGCCTCCACAGGGTCTCCCTCTTGAATCCCTCAGTTGCAAGCACACAAATCCCATTGGTGCCGTCCACCTCATTACACTGAGCAAAGTCACCATCAGGAAGGCCCTGGGGTTGCTGACAGTGTGCGGCAGCATAGGGGTGGGAGTAGCATGTTGGATAGTTTCAGATAAACTCTGCCAACTCAAAGAATTCACCCTATTCCATTGATTTTTCATTCACAGGTCAGGAAGTGTGGACAACAACTGGATATTTATATATGGCTTCATAGAGGATTTCCTCAAAATATTTGAAAAGTATGACTTCTCCATGTGGTGGGGCTTTAGCAATGCCAGGCAGAGAGCCTGTCTCTTTAGACCCAGTGAAGATGGGTGTCACTTGCATCAGAGGCATGAAGCCCCGGGTGGAGTTCTGAACCAGTTAAAAATGCAGTTCTCTTGGTTCCATCGTTCCAAATGTCCTATGGACTTTGGTTGTTTACAGTGTTGGTGTCAAGTCACAGTGTAGGAAATACTGACCAACTAGAGGATGTCACAGATTAGAAACCAGCTAAACAGTAACACAGTAAAAAAAAAAAAAAAAAAAAAAACACTTGTTTAGATAGTTCCAAAGAAAATTGCAAAGGACTCTCATGGCAACTTTATTTTTTTTTTTTTGGTGATAGAAATTATATTTATTTTATATCCTAACATAAATAAACAATTTCTTTTCGGTCATGTGAATTAAAATTTTTTGCATCAGCTTGTTGATTAGCTTGTTTCTCATAACGGGCTTGTACTGACACCTTTCTTGCTGCTAGATAAGAAAGAGGCAGAGAGCTGGCCAAGGTTATTCTGCAAGGACTTGAAGGACCAGGAGAGTCAGAGTTACAGGATGTAGGAGGTTTTTTTCAGAAAAGCATCCTACTTCATGTCTTATCTAGAGCTAGTGTGGCACAACCAACCATCCCAGTTTGCCTCCACAGGGTCTCCCTCTTGAAGCTAAGTGCTTCCTCATATTTATACCGACTAGGTATATTGTATACACCCAGTGAGTACAAGTTGAATTAAATTGCTTTCTATTTATTTATTTTTTTTTTAATTTTTTTTTATTAGATAATAAATTTTATTGTTATATTCCCCATACAATTGCAGCCCCCCCATTCTGACCCCAATCCCTCCCCTCCCGCCCCTGCCCCCTAAAAGTGTCTCTGGTTCATAGTTTTTTGTTGATTTTGATTTTCACTTTCTTATAGTTATTCATTTTCCTGATCCCTTATTTAAGTTTTCTAGATTCCTGCTATGAGTGAGACCATCCGGTATTTTTCTTTTTCTTTTTGGCTTATTTCGCTGAGCATGATCCCTTCCAGCGCCATCCATGTTGCTGCAAATTGCATGTGTTTATCTTTTTTGAATGCTGAGTAATATTCCATGGTATATATGTACCACATCTTCTTGATCCAGTCATCTATTTTTGGGCATTTGGGTTGTTTCCAAAGCTTAGCTATTGTAAACAGTGCTGCTATAAACATAGGGGTGCAGGTGTTCTTTGGAATTGATGTTTCTGTGTCCTTTGGGTAAATACCTAGGAGTGGAATTGCTGGATCATATGGAAGCTCTATGTTTAGTAGGTCCAGAAATCTCCACACAGCTCTCCACAGTGGTTGGACCAGTTTGCACTCCCACCAACAGTGCAGAAGAGTTCCTTTTTCTCCACACCCTCGCCAACATTTGTTGTTGCTAGTTTTTTTAATATGTGCCATTCTCACTGGTGTAAGATGGTATCTCATGGTAGTTTTGATTTGCATTTCCCTGATGACAAGTGATGTTGAACATTTTTTCATATGCCTGTTGGCCATTTGCATTTCCTCTTCAGAGAAGTTTCTTTTTAGCTCTTCTGCCCATTTTTTGACTGGATTATTTTCTTTGTTGTTGTTGAGTCTCATCAGCTCTTTGCAGATTTTTGTGATCAGTCCTTTATCATTAGTGTTGGGTGCAAAAATGTTCTCCCAGTTGGTGGGGTTTCTCTTTGTTTTTGTTATTGTCTCTTTTGCTGTGCAGAAGCTCTTTAATTTGATGTAGTCCCAGCTGTTTATCTTCGCCTTCACTATCACTGCTTTGGGTGATGTGTCTGTAAAGATGTCTTTGATGTGCAAATCACGTAGTGTTTCGCCTATATTTCCTTCTATATATTTTATGGTTTCAGGTCTTATGTCTAATTCTTTAATCCATTTTGAGTTGATTTTTGTGTATGGTGTGAGGTAGTGGTCAAGCTTCATTCTTTTGCATGTAGCGACCCAGTTTTCCCAGCACCATTTATTGAACAAACTTTCTTTGCTCCAATGCATATTCTTTGCTCCTTTGTCAAAGATTAGTTGACCATAAATCTGTGGGTTTATTTCTGGATTTTCTATTCGATTCCATTGGTCTGTATGTCTGTTCTTGTTCCAATACCATGCAGTTTTGATGATTATGGCTTTGTAGTATAGTTTGAAGTCTGGGAGTGTGATGCCTCCAGTCCCTTCTTTTTTTTTCAGGAGAGCTTTGGCTATTCGGGGTTTTGTGTGATTCCATATGAATTTCATCAATAATTGTTCTATTTCTTTGAAGAATGACATTGAAATTTTGATTGGAATAGCATTGAATCTGTATATTGCTTTTGGAAGGATGGCCATTTTAATAATGTTTATTCTTCCAATCCATGAGCAGGGGATATCTCTCCATTTCTTTGTGTCTTCTTCTATTTCTTTTAACAGTGTTTTATAGTTTTCTTTGTATAGGTCCTTTACCTCTTTTGTTAGATTTATTCCCAAATATTTGATTTTTTTTTGTTTCAATAACGAAAGGGATGGTTTTTTTGATTTCTTCTTCTTCAGATTTATTGTTTGTGTATAGGAAGGCTACTGACTTTTGCGTGTTGATTTTGTATCCTGCCACTTTACTGAACTGATTGATGAGTTGAATTAGCTTTTCTGTGGAGTTTTTGGGGTTCTCTATGTATAATATCATATCGTCTGCAAATAGTGATAGTTTGACTTCTTCTTTTCCTATTTGGATTCCTTGGATGTCTTTCTCTTGTCTTATTGCCCTGGCTAGGACTTCCAGTATTATATTGAAAAGCAGTGGTGAGAGTGGACATCCTTGTCTTGTTCCAGATCTTAATGGAATTGCTTTCAGTTTTTCACCATTGAGAATGATACTGGCTGTTGGCTTGTCATAGATGGCCTTTATGATGTTGAGGTATGTTCCTTGTATCCCAAGAATTTCAAGGGCTTTTATCATGAATGGGTGTTGCACTTTGTCGAAAGCTTTCTCAGCATCTATTGATATTATCATATGGTTTTTATATTTCTTTTTGTTGATGTGTTGGATAACGTTGATTGATTTTCGGATGTTAAACCATCCTTGTGTCCCTGGAATGAATCCTACTTGGTCGTGGTGAATTATCTTATGGATACATTGTTGGATTCTGATGGCTAAAATTTTATTGAGGATTTTTGCATCAGTGTTCATTAGGGAGATTGGCCTATAGTTTTCCTTTTTTGTGTTGTCCTTGTTCGGTTTTGGTATTAGTGTAATGTTGGCTTCATAAAACGTGTTTGGTATTGTCCCTTCCTTCTCAATTTTTTGGAAGAGTTTGTGAAGGATAGGCACTAATTCGTCTCTGAATGTTTGGTAGAATTCATTTGTAAATCCATCAGGTCCTGGGCTTTTGTTTTTGGGGAGGTTTTTGATTACCATTTCAATTTCGCTAATTGTAATTGGTCTGTTTAGGTGTTCTATTTCTTCTTTATCTAGCTTTGGGTGATTGTAGAGTTGTAGGAATTTGTCCATCTCCTCTAGATTGTTAAACTTGTTTCCATATAACTGTTCATAGTAGTTACTGATTATTCTTTTGATTTCTGCTGTGTCCGTTGTGATTTCTCCTCTTTCATTGATGATCCTGTTTATTTGTGCTTTCTCCCTTTTTTCCTTTGTGAGCCTGGCTAGGGGTTTGTCTATTTTATTGATTTTTTCAAAGAACCAGCTCTTGGTTTCATTGATCTTTTGGATTGTTTTTTTAGTTTCAATTTCATTTATTTCTGCTTTGGTTTTTATTATTTCTTTTCTTCTACTGGTTTTGGGTTTTTTTGTTGTTCTTTTTCTAGATCTTTGAGCTTCGAGATTAGGTTGTTTCTTTGAGTTCTTTCTTGTTTCTTGATGTGAGCTTCTATTGCTATATATTTTCCTCTTATTACTGCTTTTGCTGCATCCCATACATTTAGGATATTGGTGTCCTCCTTGTCGTTCAATTCAAAAAATTTTTTAATTTCTTCTTTCATCTCCTCATTAGTCCAGGGGTCTTCCAGTAGTGTGGTTTTTAATCTCCATGAGGTAGGAAAGTTCCTTGCCTTCTTTTTATGGTTTATTTCTAGTTTGACGCCTTCATGGTCAGAAAAGATGGTTGATATGATTTCAATCTTGGTGTATCTGTTAATGTTTGTCTTGTGCCCCAGTATGTGATCGATCCTGGAGAATGATCCGTGTGCGCTTGAGAAAAATGTGTACTCCGTTTTTTTTGGGGTTTAGTGTTCTATAGATGTCTGTTAAGCCCAATTGCTCTAGGTCCTTATTTAGAGCTTTGGTTTCTTTACTTATTTTTTGTCTTGTTGATCTATCCATTGTTGATAGTGGTGTGTTGAAGTCTCCCACTACGTATGTGTTTTCTCTGATGTCTGTTTTCAGAGAGGACAACAGTTGTCTGATATATTTTGGTGCTCCTTCGTTTGGTGAGTATATGTTAATGAGTGTTATTTCTTCTTGAAGTATTGTCCCCTTGATCATAATGTAGTGACCATTGGGGTCTCTTTTTATCTTTTTGAGTTTGAAATCTATTTTATCTGATATAAGTATAGCTGTTCCTGCTTTCTTTTTTGGTCCATTTGCTTTGGTCCATCCTTTAACTTTGAGCCTATTTTTATCTTTTGTAGCTAAATGTGTTTCCTGGAGACAGCAAAAGGTTGGGTTTTGTTTCTTAATCCAGGCTGCAACTCTGTGTCTTTTTATTGAAGAGTTTAGTCCATTTACATTTAGAGTTAATATTGATATGTTAACATCTGTATTTGCCATTGTGTTTGTCTTTCCTTTGATTTTATTTATTTATTCTTTTAATAACTTTTTTTTTTGGCCTTCTTTCATTGTTATTCGTCCCTCTGAGGTTCTGGCTTTAGGACTCCTTGTAGTATTTTTTGGAGTGGGGGTTTAGTTGCAATGAAATTCCGGAGTTTCTGTTTGTCTGGGAAAGTCCATATTCTTTCTTCAAAGAGGAAGGAGAGCTTTGCGGGATAGAGTATTCTTGGTTGGCATCTGTTTTCTTGGAGTCTATTGACTATGTCCCTCCACTCTCTCCTTGCCCGTAGTGTTTCTTCGGAGAAGTCTGATGTCAGCCTGATTGGCTTTCCTTTGAATGTTATCTGTTTCTTCCCTCTTGCCAGCTTCATTATTTTTTCCTTGTCCTGGATTCTTGGGAGCTTTACTATTATGTGTCTTGCTGTATTTTTCCTTTCATCGTGGAAGTTTGGTGTTCTTCTTGCTTCTTGTATATCAATTTTCAGCTCCTCCTTCACATTTGGGAAGTTCTCTTCAATTATCTCTTTGAATATTTTCTCTGTTCCTACTTCTCTCTCCTCTCCTTCTGGTATTCCTTTAACTCTTATATTTCCTTTCCTCATGGAGTCAGATAGTTCCCGAAGTCTTTCTTCATTCTTTTTCCTTCGTACTTCTCTTTCCTTTTCTGTTTTGGTTCTTTTTATTTCTGTGTCTTCAAGAGTACTTATTCGTTCTTCCATTTCATCAATTCTGCTTTCATTGCTTTTCCCAGAATTCTTTAGTTCTTCCATTAATTCTTTGATCTCCTGCATTTCTTTTACTTCCCTCTTTAGGGACTCAATTTCATTCTTCTGATCGTTGATTATTTTTCCCTTATCATTGTTTTCCTTTATGACTTCTGTCAGTTTTTTAATCACGGCAATTTTAAATTTTCTTTCTGGAAGGCTCAGAAGTTCTTCCAAGTTACTGTCGTTGCAATCTGGGGGCTGGTTTTCTTTTTGTGGTGTGCTTTTTCTCTGGAGAGTTGCTAGGTTGCGTGTGGTTCTTCTCCTCCCTACTGTCTGTTTTCTAATTTGCCGTATGCGTTGGGACACTGTGTTGTTGGGACTGGCCGGCATCTTGGGTGGGCTTCTCTGCTCCCCTCTGGTTCCTCCAGGAGTCATCTGTCAGTTTCAAGCAGTCTTTACTGGAGAAAGGTCCCTGTTCTAAAATGCCGATGTGGGGACACACTCCCCTGTGTGCCTGGTCTGCCCCGGCGGTGGGTTCCTGCTCCCCCTCTGGGCAGGCCAGAGGGGGTCTGGCGTGGGCGAACTTCCCCCGCTCACCTCTGGCTCCTGAGGAAGCCTTCTGCAGGTAGTCTTTACTGAAGAAATGTCCCTATTCTATAATGGTGATGTGGACACACTCCCTGCGCGTCCGGTCTCAGGCACACTCTTCTGCGCGCTTGGTCTGCCCCGGCTGTGGGTGCTCGCTCTCCCTGTGGGCTCAGACTACTTGTTCAGAAGGGGCCCGGCATGGGCTAACTCCCCAGCTGGCCACTAGCTCCTTCAGGAGCCTGTGCTGGCTTCAAGTCGCTAGGTGGCGCCAGAGATCTCTCCTAGAGCCCTTGGGGAGCTGATTTTCCACCCCGTGGTATAGGGAGCAGAGCGGGGATGGTAGGGTACACCTCAACGACTTTGGGGTGCTGTGTCTGCCTTGTGCCCCACCGTCGTGGGGAACCCACACCCCTAATTTCGTGCCCCGGGTCTCAGTTCCAAAGCCCTCAGTTCCAGGACGCGGGCTGTAGCCCAGATCAGTGGCACGGGAATGGCGCCTTTTGAATCCCGCTCCCCTGCCTGGGCGCCTGGTTCCTGCTCACTCAGGGAGGGCCTCCGCACGTCTCCCCGCAAGCCTAGGTCGCAGGCGCGGGGACCTGGGCAGCTGCGATCCGATCTGGATCCGCGGTTGCTTTTCAACCGCACTGCTTTTCAGCGAGATCCGCGCCAATTTCCCGCGCAATCCCGATCCGCGTCTGTTTTTCCAGCACGCCGCTTTCCGCGCAGGCTTACCGGGCGGCCGGGGCTGTGTGCTGGTGCTGGTCTCCTCCTGGGCGGGGTCTCTCTTTAATGGCGCCCGGAGCTCACCTCCGCGGCGGATCCTGCAGGGTTCTCCTCAGCTCCCGTTCACGGGGTGTGGTGGCTGCAATAGTTCCTTTCCACTCCCAGTCCCGCTTGCTGCGTCCGTTTTTCTTGTTGGCCGTTTTGGTTTGTTGTTTCCTCCTCTCTGCCGGTCGGAGAGTGCCGCCTCTGTGGGCGGGGGAGGGGAGCAGGGTTCTGCACTTCCCTCCCTTCTAGTCCTCTTTTATGGCCACTTTCTTCTTCGGGCAGTTTGCTGGAGTCACCCGTTTATCTTCCGTGTCCCAGTTCTCACTGGGACCTGCCGCTTTTCCTCCCTATTAACTTTTTTTAATGGGAGATCTTACTCGCAGCGTCTCCTCGCCGCCATGTTGCTCCGCCCCCTCTCATGGCAACTTTAAAGAAAAAGCAAGACTTCCTAGAGAAAATTCAAGGATGGATTTCCCCAGGTTATGGACATTTGCACTAGGACTGTTAGGAAGAAGGACAGGGTAACAAGAGCATCAAGGAGACTTCCTGTGGAGAGAGTGATGTGTTTAGGGGGACAGAGGGCTTAACTCACAGAAGGGGAACAACTGAGTCTGGGACAGGGCAGCTTGGCGTCAAGAGCCAAAGGGCTCATACAGCCAAGCCAGGGGCCTCAATTCACGTGAGCAACAGGAAGTTATAAATGACTCTTGGGCTGAGTGTGGGTGATGAGGATTGTGCTCCAGGAAAACCGGTAATTGTGGGTAAAATGAGTGGAAACAGGACCACAGCTACATGGAGTTCATCAGGGACTAGGGCAGCAATCCTCTAACAGACAAAGGGGGCCTGTGACCCAGAAGACAGTGGGCAGGGAGAAAAAAGGGATGGAGCCATGTGAATGAGAGGCAGAAGGGACAATAATTTCTCTTAGATGGAGGCAGGAAAGTAACATAGTCCAGGAGGGAAGGGCTTAGAGTTTCCAAAAAATGTTACAGAGAATTTGTAACATTTTTGTGTTACAAAAATGTGTTTCTAGAGACCCTCATGGGGTAGGGATAGGGACCTTCACCTAGTATGTGAGGCATGAACCATCCATGTGTGTGTGTGGTGAGAGAGAGAGAGAGAGAGAGAAAGAGAGAGAGAGAGAGAGAGAGAGAGAGAGAAAAGTAGAGGTTGGGATCTGGGGATAGAGCAGGACACCACCTTGACAGTCTCCCTGGAGAGCCACACATTTGCTGGCCTCAGAATCCTTTACTAAATTTATGGTAGCTCCTGGAACTCAGGAAGGGGTCACAGGTTCGAGGGAAGTGAACACAGGCAGATGTCCCCTCCCTGACTGCTCATGGGGTCATTTGAACCTCTGTTTATGACTCTCACATACACGTGCTTCCTCCCCAGCCCGAACATGCGCGTCTCCATCATCACCTTCTTCACAAGGGGCCACACCGTCCTACAGCTCACCTCGGACTGGTAAGTTCAGCTTCACTCCCTGAGGGAAGACCTGCTGGTGGTGGGAGGGGGGAGACGGAGGCCAAGGGGAAAACTCTGCAGTGGAGTCCTGAGTTTCAGTCAGGAGCGCACAGGCTTGCTGCCTGGGCGGGGCTGGCTTCTGCTCAGAGACCACCCTGTGCCCCCAGCATCTACTCCCAGCCCCTCTGATAACTCCGGCACTGACACTGGCAGCCCCTGTGTTTCTAGACAATCTCTGACGCTTCAGCCTTGCTGTGCTGGCTCAGATCTTCACTTGGCTCAGCCTAATCCAGCTCCCCCACCACTTGTGTCCCACTCTCACCTGCTACCTACCTTAGCAGCAGCTAGTAAAGGACAAAAGTGTAGCCATCTGCAGCTCACTGCTCTCCTGCCTGGAGAGCTAATTCCAGGGCACTGGAATTAGCTAGACATGAGACTGAGGCACCAGTGGAGAATAATGACCTTGACATACAGCAAGAAGGCCTTCCCTGCATCTTGTGTAAATCCCTGCAGCCAAACCCACAGCTGCCGTCACTGTGTCCCCTGGTATTTGTTCCAGGGGAGGGGATCCCCAGTGTCCAATCAAGGGGTAGGACAGATGTCCCTTAGCAAGTCACTTCCCAAACAGCAGAAGGAAGAGCTTTCCATGAATCCCTGGGTAGGAAGTGAGGCAGCCCCAGAGGGTCAGTAAGAGGGGTAGAACAATCATGTTCAGGGATCTGCCTCACAGCTAAGGGAAGGGGTATTCTTTGGTACAGGGTCAGCTGCTCCTTGCTTGTCTCCCCGGGGTCCCACCTTGTTCCTCAGCTCCTCAGTCAGCCATAGACACTCAAAAAGATAGGGAAGAGAAGCAGACCCCAAACGTCAAATCCTTTCACAAGTCACCAGGCCAGGCTGCTCACTTCAGGCAAGAGGCAGAGTGGTGCAGCCTGCACTGTCTTGCTCCACTCTTGTTTATGATGATGGTCTGTTGGAGGCTGGAAAGCACGGCCTGCACCCTTTAGGGAGCCTCAGGACTTAAAGGTTGGAGACCCAAGATGGGTTTGTTCATAGTTGGGACCAGGTGGAGCCTTGAATGGGCTGTGCTGGTAGCAGCTGTGGGGACAGTGCCCGAGAGCTCCGCCAGCCTCCTCACAGTGGCCCCTCAGAAACACCAGGTGAGCCTCAGGAGACACCCAGATGTTGGTTCAGAACAGCTGCCTCCTGCAGGAGTCCCTTGGGGGCTCCATTTGGGGGTAGACTGCCATAGTGATGAGATCAGCAGACAACAGAGCTCAGCCCTCCTTACACACACCTTTGGATGTTGCCCTTGCAGGAAACTATGATGTAGGCGTCTTTGGATGAGGTTTTCATAACACCAAAAACAAAAACGATGTTCTCTGCAGATTTCAAATAAGTGACACCGTATTTTTTGGTAAGTACCTCCCTGATTTGTACAAGTAGCATATTTCCCACAGACGCTGTCTCCCTCAGGCACCATGCCTCCAAACACTCTATGCCCATTCCCTGTGGAAGCTGTGAGGATAGAGGCAGCACCGAGAGTGGAAGGAGGGTTGTAGGTGGGTCCATCAGCCCCAGAGCCACAAAAGTGTCTGGGGTCAGGGCTACTCCCTGTGAGGAGGGTCTTTCCTCAGAGTTGCTTCCCCCTGAGCTTTCCTCATCTCTCACTTTCCCTGAGAGACACGGACCCCAATCTCACGAGTCAACCAGGGGAACTTATATTAGTCCTGGGCTCTGAGTACATGCCAGGAGCACTGGTATCTTTCCCAGGAGGGAATTTTCACCTTCGATTGAGAGAGACGGCCAAGCAGGCCACATCCAGGTCCTGAGATGTGGCACAGGCACACATTACTGTGTGCCCTTGACCATGTGAAAGTTCCCTTCTTGCTCTATTTTCTCTACTGTGAAACGGGAGCAATGTAACAGCTGCGCTAAGTAAGCTCTGCGACATATGGAAGCCTGTTATCTGGTGACACTCGCACATCGGGTGTTCCTCCATGATGGAGGAGTGGCTCCCTGTGGAGCTGACTAGGGTGTGTGGAGGGGTAAGTCAGACTGTAATGGCAGCTGGGCCTTCACCACTTCCGCACAGTTCAGGGGTGGAAAGAATTGGAACTCAGGTAAGCAGGATCCACAACTCAGGGTGCTCTTTTGAGTCTTGTGACTGCCATGCTCAAATAAAATAACAGTAAACAAATGCAAAGGAAGAAAATCACTAGCCATCCTCAGAAATTCCCTATGTTGGTAAATAGCATCACCATCACCCAGTCAATCTGGTCAAAACCTGCATGGCATCCTTGAACTCTCTTTGCTTTTATACCCATATGCGGTCCAGGGTAGGTCTTATTTCTTCGATGTCTAAAGCCTGTGCTGAGATGGCTCACCCCTCAACAGACTCATTGTCGTTAGATTAAAACCCAAACTCTTCTAGGACCAAGAGTTCTGTTCCACGTTCAATCTTACGTATGCAACAAGGTCAGGTAGGACAACCTCAGGGGCTTGACACTTGCTGTTCCCACAGGGCAAACCTCTCTGCCCTGGGACCTTACCCTGGCTTTCACTCATGACACTCAGCTCCAGAATAGCATCCTCACAAATAACTTATTTTAATGTAAATGTTCAAAAAATGAAAAAAAAATACAATTATTGAAAAAAGAACTTGAAACAGCATCTCTTCATATCAGTAATTACCAAAATAGGATAATCAATATTTTGAAACAAATACCAGCATGAATTCATTGAATGCATAAATATTTCAGTTTTCATCAAGACTTCACAGATCACCTTGTTCCTAGCACCTGCCTGATCCCTCCATTCCGTGTCCCAACCTTGAACATTTATGTCATAACTTCAATTCTAGGAAATTTATTTAATTTGTTTGTGTTTTATTGCCTGCTTTCCTGCCAGCCCCACAAACATAAGCCCTGGAGAGCCGGATCCCACAGAACGCAGGTCATTGCCCTTGCTGGTGCGGGCAGCTTCTGAGAGGGCAGAGAGGAGATGCTGCATCTGCCCCGCAGAGCTGCACCAGCCAAGGGCAGGCAGACGGGAGCGGGGGTGGATGGGCACGTCCACTGACTTTCTTCCTGTCTCATTTGCTTTAGATAAAAAAGCCACCCAGGTGGAAGACACCAGCATAAAGTGTCCGGGAGTGAAGATAGAGATACCAGCCAAGTAAGTGCCACTCTGGGACAGGCAGGCATTTTGACCCTAAGAGATGCAGAATGTGGGGCCACCTCTGCTGGGCAGCATGTGACGTGCTCTGGGAGGCTTCAGGGCAATCATCCTGACCAACCCATCTTGATGATCCCCCGATGAGCCTAGGGATCTGCTGTGCTACAGCCCCTGCTGAGGACAGACGTGGAAGATGAGGAACCCAGGTGGGCTCCACTGCTCCCAGCAGCCTTCAGAGTGGAGCCAGCACAATACAAATACACAAGAGTCAGGATGGTGACACCACACAGCCTCCCTGGTCACTGAGCTTGTGACCATAAAGCATCTGACCCCATGCAGAGTTCCTCACTGGTCATCCACATCACCGAGGTGGACCTCATGGGACTTGGGGTGGGGTCTCCTCCCCAGGCTGTCCGCCCTCCAGTAGCCCCGAATGCCTGATGTTCAAAGCCATCACAGCAGGGAGAGCTTGGGCTATGGTTTGAGCAGAAACCAAGAGCTGTGCCGACCTGCACCTGTGGTCCCCATCTGTCCTTTCTGTGTTTAGCGATATCTCTGTTGAAGTGAGCCTGAACAACGGTGCCAGCTTCATCAGCAACGGGCTCAAGATCAGCAGCAAGGACTGTGGAGGTCACAGGGTAAGTACATGGTCTCCCTCTGGGGTACCCAGAAGCCTGCCCTGGGGAGGGAGTCATTTAGGAAGGCAAGACAGAGGATGAGTCTCAGGACAGGCCTAGCAAGTAGCAGGTGCTGGCAGGACTGGGCGGCATCTCCCGCCAATGATGCCCTTAGCCCTTCATCAGAGTTGGGACATGTCTGAGCGGCTTCTAGGAGCTCTGGAGTGCACCCATCTTAGCATGACAGATGCCCTCTACTCTCTGAACACAGTCATTGAAGGCACATACAAGGGAGAAATAAGCACCCAAGCAGATTCCAGAAATGAGGATCTTCCCATGCTAAATACTGTCTTGCCAGCAACCCTCACCTGGTCTGTGGTGGGGAAGTGGGGGAACCATCTTCATCCAGCGGGGGTCAGTGGGGGTGCTAGGAGGTTCTGTGCAAGGAACCAGACTCCAGGATCTGGGCACCGGGCCTTCCCAGCAGGCTCCAGGCACAGGGTATGTGGAGGGGACAGCTGGGCCCTGTACAGTCAGGGTGCGTTTCCTCTGCATTGGTGCCTGGTGTGTGACCATCACAGCCCCTGGGACCCTGAGGACACTGGCTGTCATTTTTCAGATCCCTTTAGCCCCCTCCCCTCCTTCCTCTTTCTCCACACTCCTCAGCTGTCCTGGCTGCAGCTCTCCCTACATCTCTCTCCTCAGCGGGTGGAGAAGCTATCAGGGCCCTGGGAGGGATCAGGAGTCATCTCAGCAAGGGAGACCGGGGAACGAAGGCGACAGGCTCTTTCCAGGTCCCCCATCACCCGGGCACCATAGCCCAGGGCAGTGAGGCATGGCAGTGGCAAGCATTAGGCTGGAGAAGAGTGTGCTGGGGAGCAGGGCTTCGGTGCCCGATTGCCAGAGCCCGGTGTCTTGTACCTGCTTGTGAGGGTCCCCACCAGCTGACATCTCTGTGTTGTCTGCATTGTGTCTGCACATCCGCTCAGACCGGCCAGAGGATGCGCATGAGCCCCTCAGGATTCCTGCCTACGCACAGCTCGTCTGTCATCAGGCCCATGAGGAAAGTCCTCAGGAGAAACGCAGGTCTGGTCCAGGTACAGCAGGTGAGCAGTTCTGACCTTGCCGTTCTCTCTTCCACCCTGTCCCTGGGCACCACACCTCTCCCGCCCCCTCGCCTGCTGCTCTGAGCAGAGATTGCGTGGGGTCCCACCTGAGTCCCACTCACACCAGATTCAGAACGACAGCCAGAGACAGCCCCTTCTCTCAGCCCCACATGGACCTGGCCTGTGCCAGGACTCTGATGACCCTCCACACCTCATGATTCTCTCACCTCCTGCTCACATGTGGACACGGAGGTGCAAAGAGATTGAGGCTGTCAGCCCACAGCTCAGAATCCATAAGACAGGGGGGCCCTCATGTGCAATGATCCTGGGTCTCCTGCTCTGCCCTTGAACCCCCAAATCTCAGGGGGCCCCACACTCCCCCAGAAACCCATTTGTGTATGTGTACAATTGTGTGTCCCTGCACTGTCAGCCAGGGCTTGGGGTTGGGGCTGGGCTGGTCACTCCTCAAGGATTCTGGTTTCCTTGACTGGGCTCTGGCTTAGCCTCTGAGCATGGCCAGTGGGGCGGGTGTGTCCCACCTCCACGGTGGGCACTGAGCATAGTTGGCTCTAGTACTGTGTTCCGCCCAGGTGGCAACCTGCAGAGAATGGGAGTGGGCTGACGGGAGTCTAGAATGTGTGCTCAGCAGTGGGCGTCGAGAGGCCCCAGGCCCACACTCCTGGTGTTTTCTCTCTGCAATGTGCAGCCACCTGACCCTTCCAATGCGGCAGCGGCAGGTCCCGGAAATCAAGGATCACAGTTTCCCAACATCAACCCTTACCACTTGGCTGCGTGCATGCTGGTACTAATACCTCTGATGATAGGGTGCTTGTGGCTACTCCACCGCAGAAAGGTGAGTACCCCAAGCTGCACACCTCCCTGAGCCCAGACAACTCTCCTAGGGCCCAACACATGCACTCCTGGGTCTCTGCTGCTCCCTCAGCGCAGTCTTCAAGGAGCAAAGGCAGACACAGACTCTGCCCTCCAGTTCCAGGCAGAGAGACAACCTGGCAGGGCCTCCTGCCTCGTGCTAGCACAGCCTGTGGCCATGGGCGGCCTGGTCCATGGCGACAAGGGCCCGCAATCTCTGGCAAGCTGCCTAATGGCCCCCGGGTACTGAGCGCTCAGGTGGACATGAGACTGAGAGGAGGACTGTGCTGTTGAGGGAAGAAGCAGGGGCCCTGTAGGGGCACAGAATGAACAGGAATCCCAAGCTCTGGGCAGCTGAGCTTTAGAAACCAACACAGTATCTACACATCCCCTGTGCAGCTATCACCTCCCTCCATCTTCTTCTGGAGTGCCAGGGGGTGCTGCCCATACTGGGCAAACAGGGACAGAAAGGAAGCAGCTGCCAGCCTGTCCACAGCAGCTAAAGTCTGGGGTCTGGGTTGGCATTGGTACCTGGGCGGGCATGAGGTGGACCACACAATGACACCTTCTGGAGACCACGTGCCCTGATAAAGCAGAGCAATAGGAGAGGACAGCCCAGCCAGGAGGGGAGGGACAGCAGGGCACGGTGACAGTGGCAAAGTCACTGCTGGATGGAGAGAGAAGGAGGAGCATAGGGGAAGGCACAGCAGCAGCCAGGGCGAGCAGGGCCTAGAAGGTACCAAGTCCCTCAATTAAGTGAGGAGTCAGGTGCTAAGGACATGCAGCCTACAGGCCACCAACCCCCGGGGTGGGCATCCACAGTGACACCCAAAGCCACGTTCTCACTCACTCCTGCTGAGCAGAGTCCCCTCCTGCCTGTGTGGACCAGCCAGAGCCCTGCAAAAACCTTTCCTCCTTGTTTCTCTTTTCACATTCTAGAACAAGATGGTGCTAAGTTGCGTTTCGTTTCTGATGCCCACACAGACCTGCACAAGAAAGCCGCCTGAGCTGTAGGATATCTCTATTTCCCACCCCACCATCTCCACCTACCTGGACAGAGAGAGCTGGCAGAAAGCAGGGTGACAGAGGGGCAGGGAGGGACAAGTGGGAGGACCTAGGACTCACAAAATGGCATCAGAGACACCCTCTCCAAGCTCCCAACGGTCTGATCCAGAGCCTCCATCACACTATAAATTGCAGTAGCTGTTGCAGCAAGTGCCATGATCCACAGTGACATGACCAGGGCTTTCCTTTTGGTTTTGTGTGTCAGTTCCCAACAATTGGTCATTGGCTGGTCCTTCCCTGGGTTTAGTGAGCAGTTGGAAAAGGAATCTCAGGGTTCCAGTACTGGTCACTCCCCTGCAGTCTCTGATCCTGTTGGGTAGCATTTCTTTGGTTTCCTCCCTGTCTCCTGGCTGGCTGGGATTTGGCTGGGTTTGTCCTTTGGGCACTTAAGAGCTGAGGAGGGCGGAGGGAGTCAGTCCTCCCATGAACTGTGAGGGAGGCCCAGGCCAAGTACACCAGGGACCAAGGTCAGCTGAGCTGCCTGTGGCTCTCCCCGGTAAGGAGGCCCAAAAAGGACCCATAGAATGTGCACAGCAGGCCACTGTGACCTATTAAGGGGAGACCTAGGAAGCAGGCCCCACTCAGAGGCTGCCTTCGGTGCTGCTGCACTGTGGTCAGGGAGGCTGCATCAGCCAACACCAGGCCAATCAGCCTCTGCTGATGCTCCTCCCCAAAGTCCACCTTTAAATTGTAAAACCCCAAGACCAGGCCTCTCCAAAGGGCAGCCTCAGAAACCCAGGCAGCCTGAGAAAATTTGCTGTCTATTTGGGGAAGGATCTTCCTTGCAAAATACGTAGAGGTTGCTTTTGCTTCCCACGGAAGGCCTCCCCTGCAGCACAGAGTGCTGCTAATCAGTTGTCCTTGAATCCTCCCAACAAACTTTAGCTGAGGGGCCAGAAGTTGACAGGTGCTAGGGGAACAATTCATGTCTCTGAACCCCAGAAATGCCAGACAAAAGCTTTCTCTTCCTAGGAAACTTGTTTACAAACGTGCACCACGGTGGTGGTCCCTTGTGGTGGAGATGACAACCCAAGACACCTAGAGGTGAGTTGGGCCAATACAGGGAACTGTGGGTAGGTCGGGCTCCAAAGGAGAGTAACAGGTTGGGCCCAGAAGATGTGGCTTGGATGGAGAGGAGTGTTCAGGGCACTGAGCTTTACTCACTTGGCTCCAACACCAGGCTCCCCCTCAAGGGGCTCACATTTATGGAATCACTGCTTTCACAGCGGTTCTCATCAGCCCCATCAATGACTTGGGTCTCCTGGGGAGTAGCATGGGTTAAAACAAAATCACAAGTTCATGAAGGTCAGAAAATAAAAGCAGGAAATCTGAGTCAAGATCTTTCCCCCATTGGGCGGAAATGCTGGTGCACCTGGCACCCACAGAAGCCAGCTCAGCAGAGTGAGGGAGGGAGCTCTGCCTTGTCCACCTGCCCTCAGAAGGGGTGACAAGGGTCAATGGAGGAGGGGCCTGAAGGGAATGTCCTTCCCCAGGAAGAGCTGGGCCTGCCCTGCTGAGACACATCGCACACTGGGCCCCAGCACAAAATAGAATCCAGATGGCTGGGGTGGAGGAAGAAACAGCCCACAATTTCTGCCCCTTTTTGCCCCTCCTCCTTGTCCTGCCTCGGTCCTCTTGGGGACCATGGTTTCCTCCAGGAACTTCTATGGCACCAGGAGAGCCAGCAATGCCTTCCTCTCAGTGAGCAATACAGCAATACAGCACATGTTCCGGAGAGGTGGAAGCCCTGAGCAAGGGCTTGTTCCTGTTCCAGGACATGGCTCCCCCACTGACAACATCAGGGCAGAGCTAGAGTGCAGGGTCCAGAGCTCCCCTAGGATCCCCCGCCAGGGTTCCAGGTCACTCTCGGTCTGTCCTGAGCCTCCTCTTCCCTCCATCCTCTGTCAGCCGGACCCTGCACACCCTGAGGGCATGGAGCCTCTTCCCTGCCTTCCCTGGTGGGCCTCATGAGTGCAGGCCTCCTCCTCCCTTCCTTCTAGCTCCTTCCCAGGTACCCCGCGGGCACCTCATGTTCCCCTCCGAGTCACCGCAGATCACCTCCAGCCTTATACTTTAGCTCTGCTCGCAGCTCCTGGCTTGTCCTGCAAATACACTAATTTGTACATCCCTAAAAGTTCCTGACTCACACCCTGACCTACAGCAGGCCCATTGTCACAGGGAAGGCCACTATCATCCCCCTGGGAGTTTGTGGGGACAGAGCTCAGGTGCCTTTGGGAACTGGAGGGGACACTGTCCCGCTGGAGGCAGCAGCCAGCTCAGAGCTTCCTCACAGGCTCTTCTGCTTTCCAGGACAAACTGGACACTCTGCGCATGCAGATCATGTGCAACATATTACAAAACCACAACCAGGGCCCAGTGATATGTCATAGCCCAGGCGCAAGGTAAACAAGGTACAGGGATGCTCCCTATGGCCAGAGTCCTTTGCTTTATTTCCTGACAGCGGCCCTCTGGGAGTGTGGGTACAGGCATCTGTCAAGAAAATGTCTAAGAATGAGACGTGGTGCTCAGGAAACTCCCAGCTGAGTCTAGACAGGGACCCATGTGTTTTCCTTGATTTTCATCTCAAGGATGGCAGGGGAGACAAATCTAGAACATTACCCAGCACTTCCAAATTTAAATGAAAAGGCTGGAGGAACAGTCAGACGGGGAGTGCTTGGTGCCTCCATCCCCTCCCTGCACCAGAGCTGTGGGTCAGCTGCTCCTCCCATGCTGAGGCCCTCCTGGCTGGGATGGAGACACACCCCTCACCACACACCTGAGAAGCCTGGGGAACTCTAGGGCCCTCATTTAGTCAGAACATGTCCTCAGTCCCCAGGCTGCCCGGCAGGGGATGCAGAGACAGTCAACATCTGAGCAAAAGGAGTTCAGTGTCCGAGCCCTGGGGCTGGGAATGCTGGGCACACCCCAATACCTGAACAGAGTCTCAGATAGGAGCCCAGGAAGGAAGAGTCCCCAGGGAGAGGAAGGGCATCCTCAGAGGTCCTGCCTTACGGCCAGCGCCCATAAGCCAAGGAAACTAGAAGTTTCTGTTCCCAATTTCAGGGCTTCTCACTGACCTCTCTCTTCTCTTCCCACAGCCATGTCCCTTACTTAGGTCCGGAGGAGGGAGGATGCGCAGGTACCCACGCTGCTGCCTGCAACCCAGCCTGGCGTGCTGTCCCCTCAACTGCTGTTGGACGCATTGCCCATATGCCCCGTGCCGACCTCCCCCACTCATATGCTCCCAGCCTCCCCGACCCATATGCTCCCGGCCCCCACAATCGGTCTGCTCCAGGCAGCCCTCCAGGATGTTGCCAATGATCCCTGGCGCAATGGGAAGATGTGGTGCAATCCCTTTGGCACTCCTACCCCCATAACCCAGTCATTAAATCCTCCAAATCCAAGATAAAGTTCTTTATGTGCTTAAGTGGACAGGTGTGTCGAGTCTTGGTTTACAGTTAAAGGAGTTGGATGTGGTCCATCAGCAGAAGTGGTTCCCTGGCCAGCCCTGCTCCGCTGTGCAGGATGTGGCCACACTGCTCCTGCCTGGACAGAGCACCCCGGTGTCCTCTGGCTGTGCACATGGATGATCCCCTCCCCACAGCCTGGTCTTCATCACCCACCAAGGGCTGGGCCACATCCAGTTTTAGCTAAATTCTGCTCTTTTCAAAATGCCAGAATGTCTTTGAAAAAACATACAATCCTTTCTCCTTCCCAATTTTTATGGGGAGGGAAGTACTTAACTGTCTCACCTCCCTCACTCCATTTTTCTTTCATTTTCTGATGACCTCTTGCTGGATATGTCATAAAAAGACACAAGAACTTCTAAAGTTCACCCACTGAAAATGCAACTTGTCTTTCCAAATACCCCAAACTGCCCCTAAGTCAGGAGGATTTTAGAAGATTCTCTCCACTTCCCTAAGAGAAGGTGAATCTCCCCTATTTGCCACCATGTATCCTGACAGGGATTTAGCACAATTTCCTGGAGCTCTGCCCAGCACAGGGCATCTAGACACTGCCCCGTATGCAGACACACCACCCAAGGAACCCCATGAGGAACCCATGAGCCCTGGAGGGAGTGTCCCCCTACTGAACGAGAGCCAGCTCTCCTTGTGGCACGCTGATAGTGATCAGAACTACTGTGTGCTCTCACCCCAATATCCTTGAATGTTGTGTTATGTTTCAGTTGAATTTCTCTCAGACAGCTAAAGGTAGAAATATGTCAGGTTTGGGTTTTTCACTTGTATAGACTGAGTGCATGGATAGGGATGACTAACTTTCCCCATGATTAAAAAGAATTTCTGCCATGATTTATGTAAGTGCATGTGGATGGATTTGCAGGGATATAATGTCACATGACTTTTAGCCTTGAAAACCTTTATACCTAGAGTTGCTTCTCCTTGTCTACCCCACCCCATCCTCTCTGACAGGTTACAGGGGCCTCCACCATGGCCAGCACAGGAGAGGGAGGGAGAGGATCTGCCCTTCATGAGTTGTTCCTTTCCTGCCAGCACTTCTGTCTCCCAGGCTGTATATAGTGCCAGACACAAGGCACTTCAGAGAAATAAGAGAACTTACAATGGAGGCCACATAGAAGGTGCTGGAATTATGTGGGGAAGGGAGAGCTCAGCACTTTCAATTCGACCCATTCAGAGACTCCCTCCATGAGCAAACAAGGTGCAATAGTGAGAACCAGCAGTGACTCTATACTAGCTTCCTGAAACCCGTCATGCAATGTGAGGCCTTGACCAAATTTGGTTTGGTTAATGTCACAGAAGAGTTGATTGTTCCAGAAGATGGTGCTGAGAAATTTTTGTTTACTGGCCCAATTTAAAATTCCATCTTATAACACCAGTGATAACAGTCATGGAACAAATGTGACTGAGATTTCTGTTTCACTCTTTACTTGACAGCACGCCCATCACGTACCACCTTCTGTCATCACGCTGTCACTCATGGAAGCTATGTTTCCCTTTCTGGATCCAGAAGATGATGCTTTCAAACCTGGAAACATGAGAAAGTACTCAGAGAACTGGAGCTGCGGGGTGGGGGAACCCAGCAGATGTTTGCCCAGGTCACAGCCTCCCACCCAAGCTCATGCTATGAGCAGCAGACACACAGATGGGGCACCCAGCTCTGTGCTGGAAGACTGGCTCCGCCCCTCCCTCTGCCAGTGCCCATCCTGCCCAGTATATGGTCTGCAGGCCTCAGGGAGCCATGGAGGATGCCTGCCACTCCCCTGGCCTTCTCCCCAAATCACCCATCCCCTCCTCCCTCTCTGCCATCTTGGGCACCTGGCTGACACTACTCCCTACTGCAGGGACTACTATTATCCCAGGAACGTCAAATCCACTGAGAACCCACCCAACAGCAAGGGCTCCTGATCCTTGGCCTTGTCGCAGTTTATGAGAAAGGAGCCAACAACTGACAATGCAGACAGGCAGGAAGAGGGCAGGGGAGCGCAATCTGGCCCACTTTCTCAACCTCACCTGCATGCCCTGAAGGCAGCCTTTTCAGCTCCCTGCAACCCTCACTTGCTCATTATCCTAGCAGCTCTAGGTAGGTTGTTGTTTCCTGCCCAAGGTGCTGGAGGAAGTTGGTTATGGCCTGGGCTACAGCCTGCCCTCACCTGACCCTGGCCAGGATAGACCCTGCCTGATCCAGAGTCCACACCCCAGGGCAGGGGGAGGGACAGGAGAATTTTAGTGGCTTCTTCCTGCAAGCTGTGTTTCTCACTGGCGCCACTCTATTAACTGAGGGCCTCTCTGTAGAGGAGACGCGGTGGTCCAGAAGAGCTAGATGGAAACCAGCAAGTCCTTACAGCCAGGCCAGCAGACTCTCGGGTATCCTGACCATCCTCACTTGTCAAGTAGATTCCCTGCACAGCGGACACCTCCCAGTGACTGGCCCCAGTCACAGCCCTGCTGAGGACTCAGAGCCACCATAGTCCTGCCAACCCCACAAAGACTCCTCCTGTGGGGGGTGTGCATTCCCATTTCAACCCAAGAAGATTGAAGGAGGGAAACCTACAGCACAGACAGGATCCTGCAAAGATATTCAGTGAATGGGAGCCCTGATGTGTTGTGCGCTAAACCCCGATAAACTGTTGCTAGACTCTGATGGGTCATTGTCTTCAGCACTAAAACCCCCCAAGCTCCTGCTGGTCCTTTCTTGTGCACGCCCCTTCCCAGGACATCCCCCTGGTTCTTCCCTAGTCCTTGTTCCCAGCACCAGGGGCTGCCGTCCAGGCTCAATACGCACAACTTGCCGCCCTTATTAAGCGTGGTGGCTCGGGAACAAGCACAGTGTCAGCTGCCTCTGCGGTCTTTGCCCAAATTCCTGACTGCCCAGCTTTGGCTCTGGGGTTCCATCTCTCAGGGAGGTGCTCACCCGCTCAGCCCTGTCTCAGGTTCCTCAGGTGACAGGACAGGCCTCCTCCTGGCCAAGGTGGCTTATGGGCACACGGAGCCTCAGAGACTCTGACATGAGGGTCACATGGCAACTTGGAGCAGAGAGGATGAGGGCACCCCTTTTAGCACATATTTGCCAGCAATGTCATAGCCAGAAGCTGTGGCTCTGGACCCGAAAGGACTGCTTGACCCTCCCGTCATCAAAGGAAGGGGGATCAAAGTAGGCAGGGCCAGGAGGCCCTGGAGGCTCAGCCACCATCCTGCAGGGCACACATGCAGTCCATCCTGCCCAGGTGGACACCAAGGTAGCTGGGAGCCCGCAATCCTTTCCCTGTCACACTCTCAGCAGGCTGGGTTGTCTTGCAGATTGAACATAAGGTGTGTCAGTGAGGGGCAGCCCCACTTCAACCCAGATCTGGATGCAAAGTCTCTCTAGAAAGCCATGAAGAGGCATAGGTGAATGGCAGCCATGGCTTGCCCTGGCAACACTGTGACTCTGAACCTTCAGGCCCTCCTGCTCACACACCTGAAGAGGGGAAGTCAGGGACAGCCAAGGAGTCAGGGTCTCCACATAAGATTTTGAGAACCACCCCCCCCTGCCACCACACACACACACACACACACACACACATGCAGAGAAACACAACATCCCACCTTCTCCAGCACTGGTCTACACTTATCCTCCAAAACTGGGGGTGGAGGGGAGGGGCCCAAGTAATAGAGGAGTGGCCCGAGCATCTCCTGGGTATGCTGTACACCCAGGGCAGGCATCCTCACCCCGCTAAGGATGGGTTTATTTCCTCATAATATACCCCACAAAGCAGAGTGGGGCCTCTGCTTGCCACTGTGAATTTAGGATGGGATGATGTTGCTCTTGCACCAGCCAAGGGTAGGCAGACCGGAGCAGGGATGGATGGCTGCAGCCATCCAGGTGCTGCAGCCAGGTGCTCCAGGCCCTGCTGAGGGCAGGATATGGAAGATGAAGGACCCAGTGGGGCTCCTCTACTCCCAGCAGCCTTCAGAGCGGAGCCAGCACAATGCAAATACACAAGAGTCAGGATGGTGACACCACTCAGCCTCCCTAGTCACCGAGCTCCTGACCACAAAGCATCTGACCCCATGCAGAGACCCTCACTGGTCATCCTCTTCACCGAGGTGTTCCTCATGGGACTTGGGGTGAGCTCTCCTCCCCAGGACTCCAGTAGCCCCAAAATTCTGATGTTTAAAGCCATCACAGTAGGGAGAGCTGTGGGCTATGGTTTGACCAGAAACCAAGAACTGTGCTTATTTGCACACCTGTCACCATCTGTCCTTTCTGTGCTGTAGCGAGATCTCTGTTGAAGTGAGCCTGAACAACGGTGCCAGCTTCATAAGCATCGGGCTCAATATCAGCAGCAAGGACTATGGGGGTCACAGGGTAGGTGCATGGTCACCCTCTGGGCTTCCCAGAAGCCTGCTCTGTGGAGGAGGTCATGCTAGGGAGGCAAGAGAGAGGACCAGTGCCCAGGACAGGCCCAACAAGTAGCAGGTGTCGACAGGACTGGGCCACTCCTCCCTGCCAGGACTCAGCTCAGCACGGGCACCTGGGAAGGAAGGTGACAGGCCCCTTCCCAGGTTCCACATCATCCGGGCAGCAGGACATGGGCAATGGAGAACATGAGGCTGGAGAAGTGGTGTTGGGGAATAGGAACACCGTGCTCCACTACCAGAGCCCTGAGTCTTGTACAGGCATGTGATGGCCCACACCGCAGTTCAGCAGTCCTGACCTTGCCGTACTCTCTGCCACCCTGGTACCCAGGGCTGCTGAACTGCGGTGCCGTGCCCAGCCTGGAGGCTCTCCTGAGAGCGTTTCTAATGTGCCCCATGACAGATGAGCTGTGCCTTGGTGGGACTCTGAAGGGCCGATGTGAGTTCTGGCTGGTCTTAGCAGTTGTGCAGACACAATGCAGATGGACACTGGATAGGTGAGCACCGTGTGGGCCCTCACATGCCTGTACAAGACTCAGGGCTCTGGC